ATGTCATGTCCTCAGGAAGCCAATACCACACAGACGGGAGATCATCAGAGACTTTGGTGTTTTCTCGGGGCCAGAGTGACAAAGATGAAGGCTACAGGTAGGCAGATGTCCACATAAGACCTGTCACCCCCAAGAGACATTTTACCAAATTTTGAAGGTGTGTGGGTGAAAGGTGAACAGCTCTGAGGGGCGAAGCTTTATTTCCTTCAGTCCCAGGAATCCAGAAGTTTCTGGAAAGGGGAGGCTCAGACTTTTCCAGTTTGGCACCCAGTCTGAACCCAGCTCAGTGCCCATTGGTTTGAGGTAGTAAGCTCCCTGAATATGTCAAAGAGAAGAAAGAGGGACCCTTCTGGTGAGAGCCTCTTGAAGCCTCTATTTTCTTAAAAAAATCACAATGTTCAACGTACTATAAAAATATACAAAAGTCCTTTGGGTATAGACTGAGGAATCAAAGGCCAAATGTTTTCTCTGATATGTGGATGCTGATCCATACTGGAGGTAGGGCAAGGGGAGAATGGAGGAACTTTGGATTGGGCAGAGGGAATGAGGGGAGGGGAGAGGATATGGGAATGGAAAAGATGGTAGAATGAGATGAACATTATTACCCTATGTACGTGTATGATTGCATGAATGGTGTGACTCTGCATCCTGTACAACCAGAGAAATGAAAAATTGTGCTCCATTTGTGTACAATGAGTCAAAATGCATTCTGCTGTCATGTATAACTAATTAGAACCAATGATAAAAAATATTGATATATTTGGCAAAATATATCAATAATTGTGGTTAAAAATATATAAAGATAAAAGGTCATGTAACAATAAACATAGACCCACAAGTGATCCAGGTATGGAATGATCAAAAAGGCCTTCAAAATAACCATGAAAATAAAACTATTGTTCAAGAAAATAGAGGAGGGCTGGGATTATGGCTCAGTGGCACAGTGCATGAGGCACTGGGTTCAATCCTCAGTACCACATAAAAATAAAATAAAGATTGTGCTCACTTAAAACTAAAAAATAATAATAAAAAAAGAAAATAGAGGAAAAGAGACAAAATTGGTAAAAGGTTAGGGAAGTTCAACAGAATTAGAGTCTGTGAAAAAGAATGAGTAAAAGACTTGGGCAAGAACTTCACAAAAGAAGATATTTGTATGTCAATAAAACATGAAAAAGTGCTTAACTTGAATAGTCATTATGTTGTAAGGTTTGCATCACTGTGAAAAAATACCCGAGATAACCATCTTATAATGAGGAAAAATTTATTTTGGCTCATGGTTTTAGTCCATGGTTTCTTGGCACATCATAGTGGGGAACACATGGTGCTGGAAACACTGCTCACCTCATGGAGCAGAAAGCAGAAAGGAGCTGGGGTCCCAATATCCGTTCCAAGGGCATGCCCCAGGGACCTAACTTCCTTCCACCAGACTCCATCTACTAAAGGTACTATATCTCCCAATAGTGCCATGGGCTGGTAACCAAGCCCTTAACACATGAGACTTAGGGAGACATTGCAGATCCAGTCATTATATTATATCAAGACCACTATGCACCCACCAAAATGTGTGAATAAAAAATAAGATAGGTTATTTTATTAGTTATCCTACAGTGAGAAAGAAGACATCAAAGGTCATAGAGGATAAATACAACCTAAACTGTCATCTACCACTATTGGGAATAAAAATGGAAACAATGATTTTGGAAATTATTGGGCAATATCTACTTCTGGCAAGTTGAATAAGGACCTTTTTAAGATGTCCACATACCAATACCTAGAACCTGTGAATATGTTTTATTACTTGGCCAAGAGGACTACAAAGATGTAAGGTTATAGGCCCTAAAATTGGGAGATTAGTCTGGATTGTCTTCATGGGCCCAGCCTAATCACATGAGAACTTTCTCTGGTTGAAGAAATGAGGCAGCAGAAGAGAAGTCAGAGAGACTCTAAGCATGAGAAGGAATTAATACTGTTGCTAGTTCTGAGATATAGGGACTACATGTAAAGACTGGAGAGAGTAAGGGTGGCCTGCCTTAACTAACAGCCAGAAAAGACATAAAGACCCCCATCCTACAATAGCAAGGGACTGAATTTGACCAACCAGGAAGAACTTAGAAGAAAGCAGATTTTTTCCCAGAGCCTCTCCATAAAATCCCAGCTAGTTGAACCTTTGTCTCATGAGAACTGGAACACAGAAACTATTTGAGTCAACCTGGACTTCTGAGCCTCCCCATAAGATCCCAGGTAGTTGAACCTTTGTCTCATGAGAACTGGAGCACAGAAACTATTTGAGCTAACCTGGACTTTTGGGCCATAGAACTGTGAGATGATAAATCCCTGTTGTTTTAGCCACTACATTTGTTGTAATTTGTTAGAGTAGCCACAGAAAAGTAATACACTACTAAAGCTGAATATATCCCTTGGCTCAGCAATTCTACTCTCACCAGAAAAGTACCCAGACATGCATGAAAATGCTTATAGTAGCACAGTTTTACTGGAAACTACCCAAATACCTATCAGTAGTAGAAAGGATAAGTAAACTATGGTATCCTATACAGCAATGAGAGGAAATGAATTAACAACTCTGTTTAATAACTGCAAGGATTTGCAGACATAAGAATATATATTTCTTCATCCCAATAACTGAAGCATAAAACAGGCGAAATTGATCAATGTAATTGGAGCTCAGAGAATGGTTATCCTTGGGGATTTGTTACTGGAAAGGGCATAAAGAGGTTTGGGGGTGAATGTAATGCTTAATTTTTGGAACTGAATGGTTTGTAAAAATTCACTGAACCATCTATTTGAAGTCAATCTAGTTTTTTTTTAAAAATATTTTTATTTTTTTTTAGTTTTCAGCGGACACAACATCTTTGTTTGTATGTGGTGCTGAGGATCGAACCTGGGCCGCACGCATGCCAGGCGAGCGCGCTACCGCTTGAGCCACATCCCCAGCCCAATCTAGTTTTTTTATATGCATATTACTTCAGAGAAAAGTTTAAAATAGCTTCCCTCCATTCATAGCAGGCATTTGACACATGTAGTTTGTAATCAGTTGAAACTAGTGTGTAATTCTTACCAAGTGCATCTCTAAATATTTTTTTCTTTTTGAGATTCTGGGGATCATATCCATGGCCTTGTACATGCTAGGCAAGCTATCTACTTTTGAATTATGCCCCCAGTCCCCTAAACGTTTCTTTTGACTTGGAAAGGGAACTTTGTCCATGAAAGAGATTGGTGATCAATCTCACCATGTGTACAATGGCTTGGTTCTACTCATGAACATAAAACTGCAAATAAACTTATGAAAATGAAAGTAAAAAAAATGAAAGTCTGTTAAGAGAAACTCTTAAGAAAAGCAAAAAGGTATGTACAAGATGGGAAGTGGAATCCCAGGACTCCACTTGCCTTGAGAGTGGTACATTTATTAGGTCAACAGGGTTTATTGACCTCCATTTTTTAGAATCCACTAGTAGAAAAAGTGTAGAAGATGGTTTTAGGACATTTCCATGTCCTATGACAGTTGGCAACCTCAGTAGTGCAGAAGTAAAGGTATGTGTGGCAATATGACGGGGGCGGAGGAGTCTAAATTTGAGAAACACCCATGTGGGCAACTGGAATCCATAGTGACTTTAAGTAGGACAACATGGTCAGTGGGACAACAATGAGGAGTCTTGTTCCAGAATGGGGTAAAAGATGGGGGGCAGCCGGACTAGAATGGAAACCAGGAGCCTCTTTAGACTGGAACAGTAACTGTCCCTGTGTATGAGGACTGGACAATAGTGATGATGGAGATAGGAGGAGCCCGGCTGAGCTATCTTTTAGAGATGAAGTCAACAGGATTCACCATGGAACTTCTCCTTGTCCTTCATTGTGAGTTTAGTCACTGCTTCCTCAGGGAAGCTTCTCTCACCTTGCCAACTAGGTGTGACCCTCATGTTATAAAGATTCTCTGTGCCATCCTATTTAGCACACATCCTCCAATGAAACTGCAGATGGATTTATTATTTAATTGTAGCCATGGAGTAATAAGGTCCCCAAAGGCAGAGACTTGTGTATCTTTTGTACAGCTCTTGTCTTCAGCCCATGATCTAGAAGAGGAAATGCTCACTGGATGTTTACTGAAAATGAAGAAATAATGGTATGCAATGGGGTAAAGGGGTGGGCAGGGGCCTTAGAAGTTGGGAGCTCAGGAAAACATCCCTGTTCTGTTGAGGTGTTATGGACATGGTCCTGCAAGAGTCCATTTTGATTTGGGTAAAGAAGGCAGAGGTTTCCCTAGGGAATCAGTGCTCTCTGCCTCCAACTGGGCTGTTGGCTATTTCTAGACTTGGGGGATTGGTAGGCTGAAGGGCCTTTCCTTTAGGTAAGTGACCTGGTCAAATCCTTTGCCCTCTTTTTTCTTTTTCATAGTTAAGTCTCATTAGTTTATACATACACATGCATGCACATACACATGTGTATGTGTATGTGTATATGCAGAGAAATCATGAAGTCTTATCTCCTTACTATTAAGTTTTGCCCTTTTTCAGGATGACCTGTCATGTTAGACAAAGAAGGGATGGAGAGTGTTCTTACTCACTTTACTACCCAGGGGGAATGTCTGACATTTGCTGCCTTCTCTTGCTCCTTTCTTTAGCAAGTCCTGCAACTCCCTAAAGAAAACTCTTTCCTGTGTAGAGTTTTGATAGTTTTTTAAAAATAAAAATAGTCTATCGGAACTATTGAGTCACTCCTGCATTCTGCTGTGTCAATTTGCATTTATGAAAGGACCTATAATCTTCTTGATCTGTCTTTATCTAATTTTGGAATCCAGATGAGACTAGCTTGGTAAGATAACAGAGAAATGTTTTTGCCTTTCAATTTGAAAACATTTGTGAATATTGACTAAAATCATGACATTCTAACCACTACCCATGTTCATGTTAAGTCTGTAATAAGAGATGGTGATATAGAAAAATAACTGTCACTTAAAAACACACAAGAATTAAACATGCTATAAATTTCTCTTTTAAAATGTAGTCTGTATTATTTTTCACCAATCATAACACACATAATATATTTTATTATAAAACATTAGGCAATGTTACTTTTGAGATATGCAATCTGAAAGGTCACACCTGTATTTACTACCAGTATGAAATACCAGAGGAGTTACATCAGAAATCAACCAGACAAATTCGTATACTGTTATCATGACTTACACAGCATTCAGTCTGGATTAAACCAGTGTCACATTCAGAGTTTCAAATATGGACCCTGGATGTCATCAAGAGACCCTGCAGTGGGCTTTCTTCTTTCAGCACTGGGATTTTGAGTTTCACATCCCAAAGATAAGAGCCTGGTTCCATCTGTAGGGCCAAAGCTGTTGGATGCTGTGCAGCCAGTGTTTCCAGACCTCTCTTCTACCCTGACAGGACTCTGCCTGCCTTCCCGAACCTGCGCTTGAAATTGAGACCCAGACATAGGGGAGGCAGTCACTTCTGTTTTGACTGAAAACTAAGCCAACAAAAGAAACAAACCTAGTCCATACATTCCAGGATAATCATAAATTACCTGGTTATAAAAATACATGTCCAAAATAGTTACTTCCAGGGTTGTGTACAATATAAATTACAAAAATAAAATAGAAAAGATGAAAAAGTTGAGCACAATTTTCAGTTCTTTATCCAACATTAGCATTTATCCAGAGATCAGTTTGAAACAATTTGCATTGCACCAGGACCCTGGCAAATCTAGGCTCAGGAGGGAGGACCCTGAAACTGGAGTGAGGTATTACTATGGAGCTCTGTTACCTGTTCTGTGCCTGATGGAAAAGGATCTTGGTAGGAGACCCTGTCCATATCAGCATGTTCCATCTGTGACAACAGGCTCACAGGACGGGTAGAGGAATGGGTGGGTAAATAGAAAGCCACTCTGTGGGGTACCTCACTCCACTTACATATATATATCTCCTTGTAAGTGGGACCTGGATGAGCCATTGTCATTGGTGTGCTGCCTTTACACAGTATAGGGCAGATAATGCAGTTCTAAAACTCCCTTTTCTTTGTTTGTTAAAAGATAGATTTATTGAAGTTTTTTAAAAGAGTATGTATCAGAGAGAAGGCCATTGTAAGATGTTTATATGTGAACAGTGAAAACTTTCTTACTTGGACCATCAGGCCTCCAGGGCTAAATAATCCCAAGCCTTAGAATAGATATTTCTGCCTCAATCCAAGTTAGCCTTTCCATTTTTTACTTGAAAGTGTCTAAATGACACAATATAAAACTATATATTTCAAGATTAATTTTGTTCATCAAGGGATCTAGTTTCCAGTGATAAGACTGACCATTAAGATACAACTGGTGCAGACAGAATCACATCTTTCAGATAATATTTATGATAAACTTTCTTATCAAAGTTCTTCCTCAGAACACATTCTATAGAATGTTGACCAAATAGTTTCCAAAGTAACTGAACACAAGATATGAATCAGTAACAAAGTAAGCTCAAGGGACAAAACATTCTGAGCACAAGTAGCCAAAATGTGATCATTATAACTCCATTTCTGCAGTGACACGTAAGTACTCAGTATCTTAATAAATTTTGAATTATTACAAATCAGGAAGTCTGAAAGTATCAATTTCAGGTGAGCAGTTTTAAATCAGAAAATACTCAATAGTGAATCACTACTTTCTAGGGTATTTCCTCCATATCCCTCTGAAGAGTTTTCCCAGAACAATCATGGATTTCCCTTATGAAAAGGAAATGCCTCTTCAAAATGGAAAACAGCAACAAACAGGCATCTGAGTCAGCTGGACCTTCTAAAACAGACCAACAGGGATTTACCTGGTTTCTTTCAGTGAAGAAAGAAACCTGAGTTAGAATGAGGTGTTGGCAAAGGAAATGCTGACTTTGTATTTCATCTTGTATTTCACCTTGCATGACAGTTGAGTAAAGGACCCAGGTTAGGCTCTGGCAAAGGAAGCACTTGGTATTTACTGCAATGATCCGAGAGACCATTTGTAAAAGCTCTACTCTGATGTTAGACAACGTGTTCAGGAATCTATTTGCCAGCATGTTATGGAAATGAAGTGTGATGTGTTTGATGAAGAAAGTGAAGTTCTAGGTAACATTTTAAATTAATAAGAAGTCCAGCAGACCAAGGAAAAAGTAGTAAGGTACACAGGATTTCAAAGGTATACATGTCTTAAGCAGCACAAAGCAAAACTTAAAAAGTTTTATCATGCAGTAGAGCTGAATGGACAATCAACCCACACCAGACAATTTAGAGAAAACACAGTGTCCATATAAGTGTCTTGTTTTAGCAATGATAATTCTCAGGCCAAAACATCACAAATTTAAGAAAAGCTATATGTTTATTTATTAAATAGATTTAATTATATTCCTTCTGAAATACAAAAGATAGAATAAATCATACCATAAAAGAGGGTAAGATGTGACGGTGGCCAATTAACACACATAAATCTATTTTTTTCTGGACAAACACCAAATTACTTAGGAGAATTAATGGATAATTCTAAGAAGCAGCACTACCTGGAAGATTATTTGGCATTTAAATACTGATTTCCAAAGTGCCAGATGGGCAAGTCCAAGCAAGCATTTGTGGTCACATGCATAAAGTCCCAACAGTTACATGATGAGGAATTGTCACCACTATTACCATACAACTTGTAAAAATTCATCTATTCTAATTGCTCACCTGAAATGATCTTGAACAAAATCTCTAAAATGTGGCTTGTACTTTTTTTTTCTTCAGACATAATCTGCTTCATTTTATAATCTAAGCAGGCAATCCTATTAGAACTGAGTAGGGACAAGGCATCGTGTTTCTTACATGCAGAACATGGAGTTTTTCTATTTGGTTCCATCAACTCCCACGCACTTCAGGACCATGGAAGCAAGAGTTCCTTTGCCAATGACAAGTTTGCTGTTTCCAACTTATCATCGACAGCCTTCAAGGGGTCCCGTTGAGGCATCCAGACTGCTGTCTGTGTCTGAGGCCAGTGTCTGCTCAGTGGACATGGATGAAATGTCATTGATAGATGATGACTGAGAAGGAGTGGCGTTGCTACTTACTGCTGCATCTGTGCTAAGAAAACCAAATAGAATAAAATCTGAGGCACGACATTGCTGCATATTTAGGCAATGAGACTATGTCATTTCTTCTGTTCTTTTGCAGTTTTCCAATCCTAACTATCAGTATAAACAAGAAGTTAATCAACTGTACATGTTAAATTTTTCTTTGAGTTTTTCTTTTGGCCCAGGATCCCAAATATTCCTGTGTCTGTTCCTGTGACATTCTCCTTTTCTTCCTCTGGCTAAACATGTATGTGGTCATGTATAATCACATTAACTACTTAAAAAAATACTTGATGATTTCAAATAAACCTTAAAAAGAAATTGCTAAGTTTATCATAAAAGTATCACAAGAACCTTAAGCTTGAATAGGATTCAAGTCATCAGACATTTCAATCATAATATACATCTAAGTCTACTGGGGAAAAGCATTAACATTCAAAGAAATATTTTTCTATAAAAATACCTTCTGAAATAGTACATAAAAAGAGGAAATTATTTAGTGACCTCTTAGAATATACTTGTGGATCCAGAAAACTGACATTTTAATCTATGAAGGCAAGGAAGCTATCATATATCTCACTATCCACATTTTAGTATGGTTTGAGCAAAAATAAAACATCTGGATTATTCAGAGATCAGTGTTTACAGTCTTAAATTTGTACTTGGTTAACAACAAAAGCACCTAAATTCTTGCTAAAGTTATATAATCTCTATGTGCTAACACATCCGTCATATTGAATATAAAATTCAAGAAAAAGAAGTAAGCTGTGCATTTACACTCTGTATGTACGTGTGTGTGATTTCAAGTGGGAGGAGAAAATATATAGCTTAAGAATTTCATTAGTAAGCAGGTAGAAACCTAAAGACATAGTTAATAACACTAATATCAGAGCCTCTCATAGTCACATAATTATCTAGTCATTAGGTCACTAGTACTAGGTAGGTCAAGTATATAAAAATGGGAGAATACTATGAACAATTTTCTTAAAACCAAATTTAATTGTACCTAAATTGCATTAATTTGTTGTTGTTGTATTTTAAACTAAATGAGACCAGTACAAAGAAGGTCATACAGAGTGAAAAGGCTTTACATTCAATTTCCTCATTGATAAAATGAAGCTGACAGCAGTTGTTGCAAGGATTAAATAAAAATGTTTAAAATGTACTTAACTTAGTGCCTGGCTTATCAGTAAATAGCTGCAGTCACCATCACTACTGCCATGACAAGCCAAAATGGGAGACAGGACCATTTTATACAAGGGGTTTTCAAATCTAACGGTAGACAAGCGGTCACTTAACACACTGCTGCCACTGGCAAAAGTTGAATAGGCAATGGAAATATTATATGATCACATGATTGAAGCGATCACTAACCTGAAGGCTGATCTTTTACAACACCATTCTTGCTTCTTTCTTCCCAATCCATTACTTCTTTGTAAATTAGCTCTTCAAACAGAAATGCAAGTTAAAATGCTTCATCAGTTTCTTTGCATCTCTAAACATTGCTTCCAAATCAATTGGAATCACTCTAAGAGCACTGTATTATGGTATTTTAAATTGTGATATATAGTCAATTCATTAATATTGCCTACCTGGATCCAAACATTTTTGTTTTGATATAACATCTTTTTCCTTCTTAAATTTTTTATAGTGCTGAGGATAAGATTCAGGGATAAGATCCAGGATAAGATCCAATTGCACATGCTAGGCAATCACTCTACTACTGAGCTGTTGCTCTAACTCCTGTTCTATCTTATCTTTTCAATGAAACTATTAAGGCAGCCAAAAACATAGGGTTATTCTGAATCTACTTGGGAGTTTTACAGAAAGAGTGAGAGGGTGAGAGTGAGTGAGCAGGCATGAAGAATAGCTCAAAGAGACATTTTAAAGACATGGATGATCTCAAAACCATTTGAATGTATTTCTATCCACTGTTACTTGTGGTTCTCCAAATGTAAAGAGTATCCATGTGTGGGCTCCAAAAATTAATTCATACACCTAAGTCCTGTCTTGTCTTCAACTTTTATTGTTAAGAACAACTAATTGGCTACCAAGCAAATTATTATTATATTTCTAAAATTTTAGTATTCATCAACTAACATTAATACACTGCAGGCACACACTGAGAATTATGGCTGTGTGCACTGCCATACATGCTAGTAACTGACACACCACATTCCATGATGGTTCCACCCAACACATCACCAGTATTGACTTGTACTGACCTTGGCCCTCAGTTACCACTGATCTTGCTTTAGAATGAAGTATTGCTAATTCAGCCTTTTCATTATGAGTTTTTTTCCTGATTTTTTTGGTTGTAGATGGATACAATTAATTTGTAATAATTAATTTGTTTATTTTTATGTGATGCTGAAGATGGAACCCATGCTGAAGATGGAACCATACACATGCTAGGCAAGTGCTCTACCACTGAGCCTCAACCACAGCCCCACAGGTTTAGTTTTTTGTGGGTCATTTGGTTAATCTTATGGTTGTAAAAATACCCAACTTGCTTATTTTTGATTAGCAATTTTACCCAAACTAGATTTTAAAACATATACAACTACATGGCTTAAAAATATATGCAGAGGGGCTGGGGATGTGGCTCAAGCGGTAACGTGCTCGCCTGGCATGCGTGGGGAGCTGGGTTTGATCCTCAGCACCACATAAAAATAAAATAAAGATGTTGTGTCCACCAAAAACTGAAAAATAAATATTAAAAAAAATATATGCAGAGCCAGGCACATTGGAACATGCCTGTAATCCCAGAGGCTCAGGGGGCTGAAGCAGGAGGATTGTGAGTTCAAAGCCAGCCTCAGCAACAGTGAGGCGCTAAAGTGATTCAGTGAACCCTGTCTCTAAATAAAATACAAAATAGGGTTGGGGATTTGGCTCAGGGGTCAAGTGCCCCTGAGTTCAATCCCTGGTACTCAAAAAGAAAAATGCAGAAGTTCAAATAACTCTCAGCCCTGGCTTGCCCCATGTCTGCTTAGCGAAGGAACATTGTAGGTAGTATGTGGCCTGTGAATAGGGGTTACATGACAATTTGCAATATGTTCCCAAGATAAATGTGATATAATTACTAATTCAGTTTTCAAATCAATATTTCATAATGTAAAATCATGTGGAAAAGCCCACATATTTTATTCTGGAAGCAAACAGTATGGATTCATACATGTTTCTCTCTAATGCTGTTATCTTCAAGTTTCTTTTCTACAGAAAGTTAGGGGAAAAAGGATAAGGGAGCTGCAGGTTCTCTTGCCCCTTTCTGAAGGACTATTACAAAATGTAAAAAGCCCCTACTTTGTTATAAATAATAACATTATAAGAAATGTCTAAATAACAATCAAAATAAGCTGCCTTTACCTTTCCACTCTTCAATTGCATGTTCTCTTTCTTCCAACTGTGCATCATAAATTTGAGGTGGTGGCTGAAAATTAAAAAAACATGTAAAGTCAACAGAGTTCAAAGAATAATGAGAATGAAAAAAAGGTAACACTACTTAGACTATTTCTAGTCTTATGTGGATTTAGTTCATTAACATATTTTATTAAAAATTTTTGCTGTAAGTGTGATATTATGTAATTTTCACAATCAAAATAATTAAGGAAAAATTAACCAAAAAGAGAGCTATTAATAATAATCTTCTTATTCATGACCTCAAGATACTATAAAAACATCTGTCCAAATGTAATTACAAAATTAGTAGTCACAGGCTACTTCCTTGAGACTCCTCCATGGACAAGTGCTGAGCTGAGAGCTGTGCAAGGTGCAGTTCTTTCTTAGAATATACTTCACATTTAGATTTCTTCATGTAAGGACTCCACAGTCTAATTCTCAACACATAAATGGACAGTTCCAAAAGGCTGCTTATAAATCTAATTTCTTTTGTTATAAAACAATGCTTAAAATGGTAGTTAAATCCATAGCCAAGACATAAAAATGTGTTCCACCGATGTTATAAAGTAAACATGTCACTGTGTCGTTATTTCACTCACAGCTAAAGATCACTCATACCAGAATTGCTATGGGAAAATGCACAAGGGCACCACATTCAGAGGGGAACTCCCTTAGTAGGGGAATAGGAGAGGCCTCATGTCTTTGAAGAAGGATAAACAAATGTATGACTTCCAGCAAGTTGCTTGGCCTCTCTGAGAGGCCTAAATTAAAAGATTAGCCAAAGCACAATGTCAGTAACATAACAGATGCTTAATAAATGATTATTACACATCAGCAGTTACATAAATGATGACAACTGTATCATCACAACACAAGCATGTTCATTCCTGAAGTACTACCCCAAAAGCAAGTGCCCCCAGTGCGTTGTGAACCCAGCACCTTGGTCTTCTTTGTAATTAGGATTCCTAAAATCTGGAACTTGCTATCCTTGTGTAGCCCTTCTGGACTAACAGAAGAGACATGGAAAGCAAGCCCTGCCTTTACATATGTATCCTTTTTCAAATAGATACTTACTGCTTCTGCTTCAGTGGGATCATACCAAACGGTAATATATGGGTGACGTAGGGCTTCATCTACAGAGATCCGCTTGTCAGGATCGATCACTAACATTTTTGATAACAGATCTCTGGCTTGACTCGCTAGGATGAAAACAAACACTAGATTAACACCCTGATGTTGTTAATGTGAAACAGAAAACCATATGATAAAGAACGAAATGTGATAGCACAATTAGAACAAAGATATATTAACTTGGAGAAATGTTTGATAGGTTCAAGATCAATAGAGCCCAAAACTTTTAGAAAAGATCAAACTTTCAAGCAAAGGTTTTCAAAATTTTTTTTTGTCTCTGGATCTGAGAGAGGAGGAAGAAAAACATGGGCACTGGTGTGTGGGGTAAAGGCTCTAGCACTTAATCCAATGTCCACACAGGACCTCAATCTGAGAAACTACAGATAGGGAGGTGGCAAGGGCCGAGCTCTGGGTGGCACTACCAAGAGTGGGGGCATGAAATGAGGGGAGTATTTTTTCTTCAAGTCACATTAAAATGAAATCAGAACAAACTTTTAAAACCACACAATAATCTCACGTTCCCACAGGATGACACACGTCACAGGTGCCTCTACCTAGCTGTATACAATGTTGGCAACATAATTTTTTTTTGGGGGGGGGTACCGGGGATTGAAGTCAGGGGCATTTGACCACTGAATTACATCCCCAGTCCTATTTTGTATTTTATTTAGAGACAGGATCCCACTGAGTCACTTAGTGCCCTGATTTTGCTGACGCTGGCTTTGCACGCACAATCCTCCTATCTCAGCCTCCTGAGCTGCTGGAATTATAGATGTGTGCCACCGTGCCCAGCCACATTTTTTTTTTTTTTTAATTTAGAGATTAGTAGTTAGGGAAAAAAACAACAGGTTCAACAACTTAGTTAAATATAAGACTTGCCTAGGCAAAGGAAAGACTGGGGCTTTTCAGTTAAGTCACAGCTTATCTTGCTATGGAAGAAAATGAATTTTTTCCATCAATCACATTTTAATAAAGGGCTCAGAAGAAGGGTGAAGAGAATCTCTTTTATTGAACTACTATCATATGGTTCCTGATTCAGAATTTTTATTCAAGAGTTTTTTTTAATTAAAAAAAATTTTTAAAGTTGTAGTTGGACACAATACCTTAATTTTATTTATTTATTTTTATGTGGTGCTGAGGATCAAACCCAGTACCTTGTACATGCTAGGTGAGCGCTCTACTGCTGAGCCACAACCCCAGCCCCTCAAGTGTTTTTTATAACTGAAAACTTCTTGAATTATAATTACTAAAATTATAAGAGTCTTTTAGACTGGTTTGAATACTTTAATTTTGGCCGAAGGTTTCAGTTAAGTGGTTTTATTGAGGACAAAACTTTTAAAATTTTTCTCTGCAATGCCTTTATACATTAGACTTCCAGCCTGTTAAGTATCTTTATTTCAGGGCTTCAACTATTTTATCTCCTCATGTTCTCAGGTTTTAGAATACAAACATGAAAAAGTGAAAGTGCCACCTGGATTATGAAAACAAGTATAAGAATAAAAGGATATCTTACTTTTAATTTTGTCTCGTTCAGATTCTGATGGGAATATCCAATCTGGAAAAAGTTCCTCAAATTTGATTCCAGGATACTTTGGTCTGTTTTCTACATAATTCCTCACAGTTGGCTGAAGTTTCTTCATGAACTCTGCTGATGGTGTTCCTAGCTGCTCGATAACTTTATTCCATTGATCAATATCTAAGGATCTCTTGAGGAAAATACAACTGAAATGCCTTATATTTATATTGCAATGTAGTAGCATCATTTGAAAGAAAACTATATTTACACCTTTGGACAGGTAAGTAATTAGGCTACTCCACTGGGTCAGTGGAAACATTTTGAAATAACATTCAAATAAAGTTTGGTTTTCCAAATTAGACTATTTTTTTAAACTTTATACTTTGTATTCTTATAAACTATAATCAGTTTATTAAATCAACACAATAAAATTTACATGCATCCCCATTATAGTTCAAAATAAAATTCTGATAGAAATGATGAACATGAAATTAGATACATAAGGAAATTGAAATCAATTTTCATACTAAACCTACCTTAGATTTACAGCCTTCAAAAGGAAGGCTTCATAGATCTATCTAACCTCCTTAGTTTATAGCTGGGCAACCAAAGCCCTGTGGGACAGCCTGGCCTGGGGTGGCACGGTGAGGGAGGGGTAGAAACCAGGGCTATGGCCTTTGTGCACCTTTGGCCTGGTCCTTTCCTATGGGACCAAATTCCTTCCTGAAACTGACCTTAGACTGAGCAATGACTACTTTCAGATATCATCCTGTTTTACTTAGCATTGAGTCATTCCAACCATCCCTGCAATAACTGGAAATGAATTTTATTTCCTTTCAGAGTGCATGACCTAGATTTCAGACTCAGCTGTGCGTTAACCACTCATAAAGTGTCAGGAAGTCCATATTCCTTGCAGCAACTTCCTAACATGCATAATGCAGGCAATACCAGCTTTGCCTAGTACTCAGGGTGCTTGTTAGGCTTGGGATAATTGTGATAATGTGTGTGGAAAGTGATACTGAAATAGTAAACAGTCACACAAGACAATGCAAGCCAGAAAAAAAAAAAAAAAAAAAAGCCATGCAAATAGCAGCTCAAAAAAGTGACTCACTGAAGCATGTCTTAGAAATCACCTAGGTCCCAGACACATGAACTCAGCCCTTCCATAATTTTATGCTTCAGAAGACTGCTTGGGAAATAGGTTTTGGAGATTCAAACCACTAGTACCTTTTCCTTCACTTCTCTTTTTTGCCAAATCAGAATTATGGTACATTTTATTAATCTATACTGTGAAAACACCTCTCCCTTATACTTTCAACAGCTCTTCCCCATGCTCACTTCTTGCTGTGAAAATGGAACCAATCATAAGATGGCCCTTCCTGTGATCTCCCTATCCTAGCATCTGCATACCATTCACCACTGGGAACTGTCTGAGCTCCTGGCTAAAGCCACCCTAACCCACTTCAGCTGGCTATACTCTGTTGTCTATTGAGTACGAGCACTTATCAATTCTTACTTCTTACTCCTATATCAACATTTTGTTCTCAAATGGAGAATTCCATCAACAAACATGAGGATTTTTTCTCCAATGTTATCACAATAACCATTTTCTAGCTATTACTGCATTTATTTACTTCTATTTGTAGCAAAACTCCTTTAAAGAGTTATATACTATACTTGCATGTCTAATTCTCAGACTTTCATTATCTCTTGAACATATTCTCTTCAGGGTTTCTCCCACATATCTGTGAAAATTGTGCCCATCAAGGTTGCCAGTGGCCATCACTAAATCAAAGGGTCAACTCTCAGTCCTTATCTTAGTCCTTTGTCCTTTTCTCTTCTCTTTCTTCAAGCACTCACTACCTGTCTCAAGACTTCAATGCTACTGATACAATGAAAACTCTCACATTTATTTCTCTTACCAGATCTATCCCCCTGAATTCCACACTCTGTATTTCTACTACTAAATACCTCCAATTCCCCACAAGGGGAGTAGACTTTCTCCCTGCCTGCATTTCTACCAGCCTGGCATGAGCATCTGCCATCTCCCACTGGAAAACTAACTGCCTCTGCAGCATTCTACCCCCAACTCAGCTGCTGGAGTATTTTAAAACCAAAGTTAGATTAGGATCTAGAAATGGGTGGGCACTCAATAAATATCTGCTGGGTCAATGATACAGAGTAGTTTTTATAGACTCTGTATACTAGGAAGGCAGAAAGGGGAAAGAACCCTGACAAACCTAGAGGACCTTTTGGGCATGTGCAGACTCTTTGTCATTGAACTCCTGTGATCCTGAGGGGCAGAACACAGTCTCTCATTTAACATGAGGGGAAACCAAGGTTCAGAGGGGCCCCGAATTTCTCAAAGATGCACAGATACCATGTGGAGGAGTCTCAACTTGAACCTTATGGCCTGGGTAAAGCTTTTTCTTTCTTACAGGCTACAGTGAGGACAGAAGCTCCTTTTCAACTTCAGATCACAAATCTAAAGGAAATCTACGAAAAACCTCAGTCTGGCTATTGGAACCTTCTTCTATCTCACAAATTTTCAATCTAATATTTGAAAATACTGGTGAAACTTTAGAAAATGATGTTAGTCTCTGTGTGAGTTTAAATAACATTAGACAGTCTCCATAATAATAAAGCCATTAATTACTGATGTTCCGACATGTTAATGTATAAAGTAGAAATTTTAAATTATTAAGATGAACTAAAAAGTAACAATATTTTTCACTTTTGAATCTTTTGGAGAAAATATTTCTTAATAAAATGAGAAAAGACACAAAATGAATAAAAATTGGGACACGCTGAATGTTAAATAGATACTTCCAAATTATTTATCTTTAGTATGCCTCAACTTTTCTCTTTTTAATTATGTTTATTTGCAAAAATAAAGAGGCTTCCTTATTTGTAGTTTGAAACAAATGAATCTGAGGTAATGAAAAACTGCAAGAAAATGTATTAGAACAAAATACAATGCTATATTTAACTTCACATATTATGTAATCTATGATGGGGAAAATATAAAGGAAAGAAATCATAGGAATAAAGTTTTTTTCATTTTAAGTTGTGTTGTATTTTATAAGAAAACTGATTCCACTAAATTATAAAAAACTAAAATTATTTTTGTGAAATACATACAAAACCCTGACTAGAGAGCTTGATTTCCTTTAAAAGCAACCATTCATCTGCTACTGGAAAGAGACAACTTTAAGCTTTCATAACAAAAGACAAAAATCAAAGACTAATGAAAATATTGAAAGGTTAGAACACAAATGAAAGAGGGTACATGTGAACAACTATGTTAGGGCAAAAATATTAAAGATGAGGAATGTATGAAGAAAGAAAGCTATTATAACTATTATCTAGTCTCCTTTATACTATATCATTAATATGAATTGTTGACCATAGTATAGGTTAATCTTTTGCACTTTATATTTACCTTCCCCAGTACACAAAATAGCCCTCTAGATAGATTTTAAAAAAACTTCTATAAAATATCATCAGAGTAATAAACAAGGAAATTTAATAATATTGTTCTTTATAAAATTTTCATTTTAAAGTTTTCCACTTAGGCCTCACATAATATGCTTCCATTCTAACTTTGGGGGGAAATATTTTAATGTATACCAATAACTAACAAAATAGTATATTAATTAAATCACACAAGCATATTAGCCTATTAAATTTAGATGGCACCTTTCCTACTTAAATTAATGGAATAAACTAAATTATAAAATATTTGCATTTAATTATCAAAATACACTTATCAAATAGTAAATAATTTACATGTCTAGCTATTTTTGATAAAATTAAGAGCTAATTTAATTGGTTTAATTTAACTCTAAGTCTCAACAAAATCATCACAGGTAGTTAAGTAAAAAAGAAAATGTTACTGTGAACTACTTGGTGTGACACTAATTTAACAAACATAACAAAGACCCCCTTAGAACACAATGTGAAATTACGGCATTTTCCTTCTGAGCATTCATATAATAGGTGCAATCATGCTGCCCTTGATATGGAAAGCATGGCCAGGGTCAAGGTCCTGGGGAAGGATACGGTCAGTGCCTTGGAATATCACACAACCTTTCACCAGCTCTCCCATGATGCAACCTACTGACCAGATATCAACTGAAAATAAAATGAAATGATAAAATTATGAAGTGCCATGAACAAAACAAAGGTGAAGAAAAGGAATTCTAGCAGTGTACTAAACACACAAATATGGAAAAATAAATTGCTAGCTCAGGGTGAACTTTTTACACAATATGAATGATTGCTGACCTCTATTTTAGCCTTCAGTTTGCAGCAATCTGGGATTTTAGTGCCAAAGATTCCAGTACTTTACAGTTTAAAAAACAAAAACAAAGAAAAAACCAGAAACAAGAAGTGCCTATGAACACAAAGGCTTTTCAGGGTCACATGCCCACCCCACCTCTAGCCTCCATGGCCAAATGCTGGGTCTCTCCTTGAGAAGGATACAGTCTCTTCCTGGGAACAGGACTTTATGGAGGACCATTTCTGCCATGATGCACCCGACAGACCAGATGTCCACTACCAAACACCAGGTGATTAAAAACCAGCTAGAGAGCCCCATATCTCTTTTCTCTAAACCCCCTCCCAAACAAGAAAAGACCCAGTAAACTTTACCAGCTCATCAGTGGAACCTTTGGTAAAATACTGAAACCATACCTTCTGAAACTAAACTGACATATCAGAAAGGCAGTAGTATTCTGTGGGGAATGGACTGCACAGGGTTGGGCTTGCTGGACTAAGCTCTAGACAGGGCCTGCCAAGTGCCCCAACTTCTATGGCATTCATCCTCATGTGGGACCTAGCTGAATCCCATGCCTTAGACACTACAGGCAAACTATCTAAATGTCCCTGCTGGTGGGTGCACATGGGGAGAAGTGAAAAGGGAATCTGATTTTCTCTCCATTCCCCAGGAAGCACATGGAACTGTGTTCACAGCAGGAAATAAAAGCATTGAAAACATCAAAGCATTGAAATAAACTCACAAACTCATTTCAGATGAGCAAATGTTACTCTTTTTTCTTTTTTACAAGTAAATGTGATTTAGTTCTTTTCAATAAATTTGTTAAAAGCTGTTTCAAATAACTTTAATATCACTAGAATAAGTAAAGTTTTAATGTCAAAAAATATCAATTTATGCAAAAGAGATGTACATGTTGCATTATTACATTTATATCAAGTTTAAAAAAAAAATAAAAATAATCTATGGTGCTTGTAATCAGGATAATGACCATGCTATGGATTGAAACCCAGAGAGGGAACACTGAAAGGCCCTAAGTACTGCTATTATGTGGGTGCGCTCATAGTAAGCTGCACACTCAGGATGTGTATACTTTTCTATAAGTGTGTTACATGTTGATAAAAATAATTCAAAAATACTAATTTCAACGGTGAATTTTTAAAAGTCAATGATTTTAACCAATGGAAATAAAAAAATTAATAATTTCTTATCTTTGGATTATGAAAGTCTATTTGTAACACAGTCTCCCTACATTATATTTCACACATTAAAGGAAACAGAGCTAGTGATGACCACTAGTGCTATTTTAAAATATCACAGGCTCTTCCAGTTCTGTCTGTACTCACCATTCTCTTTGTAGCCCATGCCCAGGATAACTTCAGGGGCCCGATAATACCGAGTTACCACGTAGGGGGTCATCATAAAGTTGGTGCATGCTGTACGGGCCAAGCCAAAGTCAAGGATCTTAAGGGTGCAATCTGATTTTACTACAATGTTGCTAGGCTTCAAATCCTAGGAAAGAAATGGTTCAAATTAATAAAATGAACCAAAGCATGCTCAAGACACAATTTCACACTGGTAAGTGTATGTGTAGGAAGGACAGGTAAAACTGAACTATGGGATTTGGGAACAATTTTGGAAAATCCGCCGAACTGATATTAATATAAATCAGCCTAAAGAGTCAAACTGTCTCCATCACCCTCATTTGCTCCTTTGCTTAAAACCAGAGAGCCCACACACCCCTAGCTGTAACCTCCCAGACCCTGCAGGCTGCCTTGCCCACCTTCCTTCCTCATTCCCACTACCCACTTCTCCCTCCATACATGTTCTTCCTTCAGTTCCTCTAACAGTCCAACCCCAACCCCATAGCCCAAAGGTCCTCACACTCATCAGTCTAGAGCCATATTGTTCAAAAGAAATATAATGGAAATCATGTATGTAATTTACATTTTCTAGTAGGCATGCTAAAGAAGTGTAAACAGAAACAGGTGAAATTAATTTTACTAATATATTTTATCTAATCTGTTTATAGTATTACCATTTTAGAATATCACCAACATAAAAATTATTAATGCAATATTTGACATTCTTTCTATAATGGCCACATCCTGAGTAATCATTGGCTTCCTGTGGCTAGTGGCTACTACCCTGGATATCAGAGGTCCAGAATTTTCTGATCTGGGAATCTCTTCTTTTTGGTGGGGAGGGAGTTATCAGGGATTAAACTCAGGGGTGCTTAACCACTGAGCCACATTGCCAGTCCATTTATATATATATATATTCATATACACATACATACATACATATATGTTTTGAGACAGGGTCTCACTAAGTTACTTAGGGCCTTGCTAAGTTGTTGAGGCTGGATTTGAACTTGCAATCCTTCGGCATCAGCCTTAAAGAGTTGCTAGGATTACAGGCATGAACCATGGCACCCAGTCTGATCTGGGAATCTTAACATGGTGATCTCTCTTCTTGGAAGAGGGATTTCATGATTGCTAATCTCAACTCTTTCCTCCCCCACAAGGACTCACCACTCCCTACCATACCACCTGGGTTATCAATCCATGGCCTGGATATAGTACAAATGAAATCACTTGCTTAGTTTCTGGTTCCCATCTCTCTTCCTATCCCCACCATTGAATCTGGGAGAGCAGGGCCCTATGCTCTCAGGATTCAAAGGCTTGCCTGGTATAAGGAGACACTGAGAAAATGTTTGTTGAGTGAATGCATATATCATCCTCCCCCACACTTTCAAGGTCTTAACACAACGACTTTTTTTTCCTTCATAATATAAGGGCCTTTCTTCATGCTGATACCCCACATCCCAGACCCTTCCTCAGACTACAGGAATTTGACTTATGCCTGGGGAGGTCGATCTACAAACTCACCCTAGAAACTGTGACTTCTAAATAATTGACAAATTTTCTTATACAGGAGAATTCAATTGTGTAGCTGTAATGTCAAATCATCAAGTAGCTATCACACAGTAAACATGGGGGTACATCGAGTATGAATTTCAGGTCCCATCAAACTCAGCACCTGACTTCAAAACTTCCCAACCAAGCCAGGCATTGGGTGCCTGACTGTAATCCCAGTTGCTCAGGATGCTAAGGCAGAAGGATTGCAAGTTGGAGGCCAGCCTCAGCAACTTAGTGAGACCCTAATAAGTTAGCAAGACCCTGTCTTAAATAAAATAAACCAAAAAAGGTCGGGGATGTGCTCATGTGCTCAGTAATTAAGCACCCCCCTGAATTCAATCTCTGGTACCAAAAACACAAAACAACACACACACACACACACACACACACACACACACACCTACAAACTTCCTAACTGATTGGCCACAAATGGGTTGTAGGGGTACCTTGAGATAGTCATACTATGAAATTATCAGGATAAGCAGAAAACCATTTAAAAATTTATAAAAGTGACAGTTTAATTTGGGATTATATGAACCTGTATCAAACTATTCTGTGAAATTTAAATGGTAAATACATGTTTAAAACTGCAATTAAAATCTCAATCAGCCCTACATAGAAGTCCCCATGTTCCTCTAGTCCACTTCAGATTGTACAAACATAATCATCCCTTAGTATCAGAGGGGGACTGGTTCCAAGACCCCTCCACCTACGGTGACTAAAATCTGTGGATGCTCAAATCCCTTATTTTAAATGGCTGGTATTTGTATATACTCCTCCAGCATATTTTAAAATAATATCTAGATAATTTATAATACTTAATACAATGGAAATACTATAGAAATAGTTATTATATTATTTAAGAAATAAGGACAAGCAACAAAGTTTGGTCATGTTCAGTACAGATGCAATTTTTTTTTCAAGCATTTTTGGTCTGTACCCAGTTGAATCTGTGGTTATGGAACCCAAGGATATGGAGAGTTGACTGTACTACCCAGCAGTCTCTGAAATCAAGGCTAGATGAACAGACTCAAGAACAAGATGGTTAGAGGAGCACTGGTTCTAACAAGGACATATGGCAATGGTGGAAACCATTTCGACAGTGGAAACTATCTTTATCTGCCAGCTTGATGAATCCCTGAGTGAATCTGAAAATGCCTACCTCAAGACCCTGCCATTTACCAAACAACTGTCAGTACATACTTGATTTTGTGGAAACAACATACTTTACTGCCATCTGCTGGAAAACTAGGATAATAAAATCCAGTTCTGGAGCGTCTGTAATGTGAATGGCTATCTTCACATGTGGTGCTCTTGGTGAGGCATCATGGGCATTGAGAAGTGGCCGATGTCTGCTCATGAGGAAGTGGTTAAAGAGGTTGTATAGGTTCCTGAGAGTTCTTACCTACCCACAGACTCTCTACAAATCTTGAGAACCAGTGCTCCTCTAACCATCTTGTTCTTGAGTCTGTTCATCTAGCCTTGATTTCAGAGACTGCTGGGTAGTACAGTCAGCTCTCCAAAACTTAACTGAATTTTCAATTTCAAGACAGCAGAGTCAAGAGAGTTCTGCCTTTTCAAATCTTAAGAACCATCAGAAACAAGGAAAACAAGAAACACAAAGGAAGATACAAATGAAACTTGCCTAGTAGGTCAGGTTTGACCCACACAGGGTAGTAAAGATGTCTACTAGAGCATGACATCCATAGGGGCAGCCAATAGTTGCAAATAATCTACAAAACAAACAAACAAACAAAAAAAAAAAAAAAGGAAAAAAAAAAAGGCAAAAACAGAGGGGCAGGGGTCCAAGCAGGGTCACCATGATTGAGTGGCACCACTGCTTGCTCAATTCCCAGGTCCAGACTCACTGACTGAAGAGGTATCCTTGGAAATGACAAATGTCTACTGTTTGAATTTCTCTGGGTCTTTCCCAAAGGTACCTATGGTCATTTATTCAGGTGGCTAAACAATGAGCAAGGAGAACAACCAGACATTTTGAGGATGTTTGAACATAGTTCTAACTGGATAGATGCTGAAACCTGAAAACCCCAAGCATAATGCACTTGATGGAGAATTGGGTGGAGGCCAGGCAGTAAATGGAATCTGGGAGAGCAAACACAGACCTGGGGAAAAAGTGTAAGAGAATATGGCTGCCCATTCCACATGGGTATGAATGGGTTCTGACCTTCTTTTTTTGGGGGGTGGGGGGTACCAGGGATTGAACTCAGGGGCACGCTACCACTGAGCCACATCCCCAGCCCTATTTAGTATTTTATTTAGAGGCAGGTCTCAGTGAGTTGCTTTAGTACTTCACTGTTGTTGAGGCTGGCTTTGAACTTGCAATCCTCCTGCCTTCACCTCCTGAGCTGCTAGTGACCTTCTTTTGTAATCAGTATAGAAGAATGCATTTACCCAATCAATATGCTGAACCTAAAGCCTTAGTAATCTGTTCTATCAACTACACTTTCCAGACATGGTAGTTGCAAATGGGACTACTAGATAGTTAAGGCTATGATAATCTATGGCTGTTCTTCAGGATCCATCTAGTGTCTTCAAGGGCTGGACAAATGAATTAAACTGAGATGTAAGAGGGACCATCATCCTTGCATCCTTGAAGTTTTAATGGTTAAGCTAATCTCTATCTTGCAGGGTACAAGAATGATTTTATTATCTTGAGGAAGGCAGTTTCAGGTGTCCATTTGGCCTTCCCTGTCCTCATAACTCTTACCTCACAGGCCAAGGAACTAATGTAGGAGTTACTCATACTGCAAATTATATCAGTTACAGCCACACAATTAGGGACTGGGGGGATGTCCAATGGGTGGGTTCAAGGACCTAGTGGCCTACTGTGAGCCACAGGACTCAGACCCCTTGGAAGTGAAGGTTTGGGTTGTGTACTAGGTACACCACAGACACCTGCCAAAGTGATAGCTCTGAGAATGAATAATGGAGAAGGAAGAGAATGAACTCTCACGTAGTTCAGAGATCATTAGCACTGAGAGGATCTTGTCCCACTAACCTCCATCTTCCAAACTTTCCCTGGGGAAGAAGCAATCATGGAAACCAGAGGGAAGATGCTCCCCAATCCATATAGAGAAGTAGAGATGAGAAGGCTGGAGGATGGGGGCCATGGGAATGTACTAGACGGTCTCCTATTGCAGAAGTACAAGTGATGATGGCTTCAGCTACTGCTTCCTGAACCTACTACTCTGTTCACTCCATGGCCTTGCCCCGCAAGATGGCTCTCAGCAAGTGACTAGTAGGCAGGAGAATGGAGGTGGGCCCATTCCTGTGGACACCAGAGTCCACTGATGGTTGATTTGAAGAGTTCTATGTCCAAGCCAAAGCTTTTTAGAGCCATACTATCACCTGCAATTGTCTCACTAACCTTGTTTCATTTTTCTAGGGGTCAAGTCTGTACTATCCTCTGATTACTTGCCCAGCTCTTCTGACTTGCTCCCACTCTCCCCGCTCATAGGCCTTCTCCTAGTAAATCTCCTGCATGTCTAATCCCACTGTGGACTGCTGATGCTTTCAATGGAAACATGATCTGTGAGGATGGGAAGCGGGAGAAAAGCAATAGATTCCTGGGTTAAGGTGATTCTAACCACTGAGATGAGATCCAAAGTAAGATAATTTGGACTATTAGATTCAGGAAAGACCCAGGAAGTGAACCACTGGTACTATGGAAGGCAGGGGAAGGCAAAGAGTAGAACACTGAGGGGTTTATATTTTCAATTCCAGGTAAGGAGCAGGTAGATCTCCCAGATCCTCATCTCCATCCTAAAAGTTAAGCATTTATTTCTTCCACACTACTGCTGGCCTATTACATGAAGGCCATGAAACTGAAGCCTGACTCAAGGGCTGAAGGCATTATACTAGTAAATACACTGGAATTAAGTACAGGGAAGTGTGTGGGAAAAGGATCCAGCCTGGGGACTGTGCTCTTCAGAGGAAGCCTCTTCTGCCACATAAGAATCCTAGCTCCACCCCACACAGTCCTAAAATACCAGCAGCAAAACTTATATGCCTCCATAAGAGACTGGAGGCTTTTCTAGAGAAACTAAATGGCCCCCAGAGAAAAGTCTATAGACAATGATACCTATTGCTCTAAAGAAACCTGTCAGCCAATAAAACTGCTCATATATTTAGCACTTCCAGTCAACCTTCTAATGTCTTAAATGTGATTAGACCACAAAGAGTGGCTATTAGATGAAAACCTTCCATATTACAGGTAGGGACCAACCACAACGAAAAAGAAAGGGAAGAGATAAACAATGCACAGAGTAATAAAAAATATATAAAAAAATTTACCCTCAGAGATGTGGTAGTACTCCTTGCAACAAGAACAAAATGCTAGAAAAAAGGAACTTTAAAATTCTAACTAAATTATGCTTTGGAGGAAGAGAGAATAAAGAACAGAGTGAAGAGGTTTTTTTTTTTTTTAATTTCTCATAAACCTGACTTTTTTATTTAAAAAATAAATGAAAAATAACTTTTATTATTATTTTTCCCTGGTGCTTGGGATTGAACCCAGGGCCTTGTGCAGGAGAGGCAAGCACTCTACCAACTGAGCTATATTCCCAGCTCTGAAGAAGGCGTTTTGAAAGTTAATAATACAAACATCTTGGAATTCTATGAAAGGAATTCTGAAAAAAAGAATACTGCATTCACCAATCTGAAGGCAGCTGATTTATAACCAAGAATTCTACATCCAACCAAACTATTAAGGATGTAAAGGATAGAGTATAGAATTCCAGACATTTGAGACCTCTGACTGCTGTACTGCCCTCTGACTGCTTTCCAAGCTCTTCTGACTCACTTCCACTTTTTCTCCTCACAGGCTTTCCATCCATGTACCATTTTTTAGGAAGCTATTGGAAGATATATCCCATCCACAATTAGAGAGTAATCAGAGAGAGTGATAAGGAGGGTCAGGAAGCAGCAAATCCACACTGGGAGGGAGGTGAAAGAACTCCCCAGGAAAATGTTGGGGGAAATTCAGGGTAGTCTTCTGTATCAGATATGATGGCAGCCAAAACAAATAGGGGTGGAACTGAGGTTCCAAGAGAGGCTTGTTGACAAGGTGAAACTGATGAAAGACCTGAGGTACTGAAACATCTGAGGTACTGAGAGACTTAGATGGCCGGGAAGAAAACAGGGTTCTGCAATAAGAACATACTACTCCCCCTTAAAACAAACAAACACCTCAAGCAAATAAAAGATCAGTGCTGTGAAGTCCATGTTCAAAATATTGACAGGAAAATAAATATAACTGAAAATACATTTCCAAGGGGAGGAACACAGGAACCCAGTTATTAAAGGGCGAAGATGGTACAGAGGTGGGTCATGAAATCGTTCTCTCAGGTCTTCATAGGTTTCTAAACACTCTGGAAGGCAATCCATATACACTTTGGGTCCTTTCTGACCTGCCTGCTGGTTGGTAAGAATGGACCCTGGGCTGTAAGACAGGATATTTCATAAAGGCAAGTATGTGCTGTAATTCTCACTGGGTGATATTCTTTTCCCACTTACCACTGGGCCAAAGAGGGGAGGAGCAACTAAGGCAAATTGTTTCCCCTTCCAAAATTACTAGGGCCTAAGAATCTAAGAAATTATTCTAAAGCATGAATTTAACAGAAAATAAATGTATTTATGAGATATTAAGAGTTACTTATATTATTTAAAGGCCTGTGAAAATTTTAGGAGTATAAACAGAATGGTTCATTAGGAATCTTTATTTTTTAATCCAGGAGTCTAGTGTTTCAGTTTTTAAAGTAAATTTGCCATAATCACTTATATTATTTTAATTGACCACTTGGTGGCAGCAAAGACTACACTTTAAACAACAGCACTCTGGTGGGCAAACCAGATGCTTATCAGAGTGCTAGCCTCTAGGAGAATGATGTGCCAGGTCTCTGCCCTCTCTGGGTGGGTGCCACTGTGGGAAGCTTCTGTTCAGTGGCATGATAGACCGAACCTTCCCTGAAATCTAAAAGGTACACTCACATTCCTGGTGGGACTGCAAATTGGTGCAACTACTCTGGAAAGCAGTGTGGAGATTCCTCAGAAAATTTGGAATGGAACTACCATTTGACCCACCCCTTAGCATATATCCAAAGGACTTAAAATCAGCCTTCTGCAGTGATACAGACACATTAATGTTTATAGCAACTCAATTCATAATAGTTAAGCTATGGAACCAACCTAGGTGCCCTTTAACAGATGAATGGATAAAGAAAATGTGGTATATATACACAAAGGAATATCACTCAGCCTTAATGAAGAATAAAATTATGGCATTTGCAAGTAAATTGATGGAACTGGAGACTATCACACTAAGTGAAATAAGACAATCCCCAAAAACCAAAGGCCAAATGTTCTCTCTGATATGCAGATGCTGATTACAGAACAAGCAGCAGAGGCAGGGAGTGGAGGTTCACTGGACTGAACAGGGTGAATGGGGGAAAGGGGAAGATGGAAATGGGAAAGACAGTAGAATGAATCAGATGTAACTTTCCTGTGTTCATGTATGAACACATGACCAGTGTAACTCCACATCATGTACAAGCACAAGAATGGGTAGTTATATCCCATGTATGTATGATATGTCAAAATACATTCTACTATCATGTATAACTAAAAAGAACAAATAAAAAATTTAAAAAATGATTTAGGGGATGCTAAGACTATCTAATTCCAATAAAAATGTATTATCTCTGCTGCTAATTTCACTCAACATTTTAGGTACTTAAAAAAATTCTATCATGATGTTCTACTTATATAGCAGTACAAGTCAAAATGATAAAAATGTATACAACCAACTTGGAGAATTACATTTATCTCTCTGGTTTTTAAGTATTATTTCCTGACAGTACAGGTAACTCCATCATACTATTTGGGCTCTAATTTTCCCTCTTCCCAAACCTAAATTCCTTGCTCAAAAAAAGGATATTTCAAATATGGCAAAAATGTTAACACTTGGAGAAATTTGGAATATGTTATTTGGGAATTCTCTTGTCATATTCTTGCAATTTTTCTCTAAGTTAAAATAAACAAAAAACAAAAAAAAAACAACAAAAAAGGATTCCTCTGAAGTACCAGACTGAGCTGCAGGAGCTATATCCCTACAGCTCCCTCATCCCTGTGCCAGAGTACCAAAAATGTTTTCTGATCTGAACAATGTTTTGAAATATAACAAAATATACTATAGTATATCTGAATTTTTAACACTGTTGAATTTCTTTAAAAAATTAAGTTTTTTTTTTAATTTAGAGGATTGTGACAACCAAATGATGGTTATTTTAAAAATAAAATTATTATGTTATCACTACTTACTCTGTGAATTATACCAGCTGAATGTAGATGTTTAATACCACAAAGCATCTGGTAAAGAAGGTAGGACATTCTTTCATGATCCAACTCCATATGAATAACCTGACATAAGTTAGCATCCATTAGTTCCATAACCAAATACCTGGGATAAAAACAAACAAACAAAAAACGTCAGCTATGGGGCTGGGGATGTGGTTCAAGCGGTAGCATGCTTGCCTGGCATGCGTGCGGCCCGGGTTTGGTCCTTAGTACCACATACAAACAAAGACGCTGTGTCTGCCGAAAAATTAATACCCAAAATTCTCTCTCTCTCTTTAAAAACAAAACAAAACAAAACAAAACAAAAAACATCAGCTATATACATGAAAATTATATAACATTTCTTTGTTTATTAAACCAGAATTTTTATGAAATAGCAATAACTTATCTAATCATCTCATTGTCTAATGTAAAAAGATAACTTATTTTCTCTAAATATATATAAGGTATCTTAAAAAGAATCAAATGTATAATAGAACTTTGTAAAAAGTTTCCAAAGGACATAAAAAAACTAACTTACTCAATGTCTTGATTTCAAGTTAAAAACAAAACAATTTTTATATCACAGCAAATAGAATCTCACACAAATTCTTCTACTTTTTTCTATTTGATTATTCTTACCAAGATATAGACCATGCTGTTATAGGTTCATCAATCTTTAACAAATGAACTCTCCTGGTGGGGGATGCTAATAATAGAGAGGCTCTGTAAAGGGGGAGAGGATATATGGAGACTCTGCACCTTCTGCTCAATTTCGCTATGACTCTAAATTTACTTTTTTTAAAAAAGCATATTTTAAAAAAGCGATCACACAACAACAAAAATAAAACTTTAAATTCCACTTTCCCCACCACCTACTTCTCCACCTTTTGGCTCCCTCTTCAGGCTTAACTCCCCAAAGAGGTAGTTATACTTGCTAACTATAATTCTTCATCCATTTTTTTTCTTAATGACATTCTGATCAGACTTGTGCCTCTATCATTCTGCTGAAACTGTCCTCAAGACCTTCATGTTGCTAAATCCAGTGGCCTGGTCCTGGCTGATTGTCCTGACCTTTCATACCCTGACCACAGCTTCCTATTGGAGTGTCCAGAAATCAGTTTTGGCCCTTTTCTCTAACTACACACACTGTCCTGGTGAATTCCAGACTCACAGCTTTAAGTACCATTTACAGTTTCCCAAATTCCAAACTTTGACACATACTTCTCTCCTGAATCCCAGGCTCACTTATCTACCTGTATACTTCAAAGTTCCACTTGGATGTCCAATAAATGAATGTCCATGTCAAAAACTGAACACCTGGTTCCACCTGCTCCCCACCCTTAATCTGCTCTTCTCATAACTTTCCTCACCTCAGTTCAGAGCTCCTTCCTCATGAAGGTGCTCAAACATCCAGGTGTGGTTTTCAAATCCTCTCTCTCATATCACACATCCTACCTATCAGCAAATACTGCAACTTTACCTTCAAAACAGTTTTGGGTTCCAGTCTCCTCTCTTCACCCTATTACCCACCATAATCTATTACATGAGTAGCTGTAATAACTTCTCTTACTAACTGGGATCCTACCCCTTACAGAGGGTTCTCTATCCCTGAACAATTATTCTTTGAAAACAAAAGCCAGGGGAGCTCACTGCTCTACTCGAAATATTATAGGTTCAGAGTGAAGGGACCTTCTTACTGCAGTATCTAAGCATACCACTTTTCTGAAACCACTTTCCTCCCTGCCCCAACTCTAGCTACACTGGCCTTTTGGAGGACTTCACAACCATGGGGAGAGTTCTCACTGCTATTCCTTTACACTGTCTGTTTATTCTATCTCAATTGCACGTACTCCAAATATCTATAGGACCAAATCTCTCACTTCCTTCAAGGCTTTCTTCAAATGTCACCAACTCACTGAGGTATTTCCCTAATCACCCTGTGATAGTTCATTTTAGGTGTCAATTTGGCTACACTAAGGAAATCTGGTAAAGCATTATTCAGGGTGTGTTTAGGAACATGTTTCTGAAGGAGAATAGCATGTTGAGACTGAGTGTACTAAGTAGGGAAGACCTGTCATCAGTGTGGGCAAGCACCATCTAACTGGCTCAGGGCCCAAAGAGATCAAACACAGAAAGTGAGTTGGACTTTTCTCCAAGAGCTGAGAGACTTTTCTACTGCCTTGGATATCAGAACTCTAGGCTCCCTGTTTTTTTTTTTTTTTTAAATTCTGGGACTTGTACATTAGCAGCCTCCTTAGTACTCAGGCCTTTGGCCTCATTCTAAGTGTTACACCATTGGCTTCCTGATCTGCAGTCTTTTGACTGGGACTGAGCCATGCTAGCAGCATCCAGAATCTCCAGCTTGCAAATGGCCTGTCATGAGGCTTCTTGGCCACCATAATCATGTGAGCCATTTTTTCCTAATAAATTCCCTCTCACATATCTACATACATCTCCTATTGGTTCTGTCTCTCCAAAGAACCCTGACCAATATACCACCCTATTTAAAATTGCAGCCTGATTCCCAGTCCCCAGTATTTCTGATTCCCTGACCCAGCCTGACTTTTTGTCCAAAGCACTGAACGCATTCTGATGAACTACACATTTTCCTTATATATTATATTTATTGTCTGTCTTTCCTAGCTTTCCCAGCAAGGCTCTAGGAGGGAGTTTATCATATATAATTCATAAGTAATAAAAGGAATTTTTGCTTGTATTGATCATAAATGTATAGCAAATCCAAGAAAATGTATAACATATGGTGGGCAATCAAATTGAATTGACCAAATACATCAATAAATTTAGGATGAAGTTGGGCATTATGTCTCAAAATATAAATTAGTATTCTATTTCACTGTTAGTAAGATGGCTCTGTTTAGAGGTCTGGAAACACATGATATTTAATGACATATCATTTCAAATAACAGTTCTAAATACCCAAACCCTGCAATTCTGGATATCAGGGCCTGAAGAAAACATTTTATAGTTCAGTACAACTATAAGGGTAGCAGTATTAATGCACACTTTGTGCTCACAGAAATTCTTTCCATTATCCTTTGCCTGCTATAGAGATGACAACATTCTGGGCACAAATATCTGAATATTATGATCTATTTTTCTTAGTATTTGTCAACCTCAGACAAAAGTATCTATGATATCAACAAAACTACATGGTCACCTACATTTTCTAAACATAAAAAGCAGTTACTTTAAAATGTTCAGTGATTTTTATTGTATGTTACCAAATAAAAATGATACTTACACATCTTGAAATTCTTCTAAAGTTTTTTGTGGTGTAAACACATTTAACAAACTAATTATCTGAAAAGAAAAATTATATATCAGTATCTCAGATGACTCTACTTGATTATAAAAGTTGTACATTAAAATGTATTAGAATTAGAAAAAAATCAGAGAACTCAATATTTTATTATTATTATTATTATTATTATTATTATTAAGGTTTTTACCAAAATATTCTATTACATGGCATTTTTAAAAAGTTAAACATCAATTGAAGATAAGACAAACTTTTAATCAAATCACTTTTATATATCTCTAGTAACCTAAACTACTATTACAGAATTTAAACAAAGAATGTCATTTTGGCTCTGAAAGTAAAAGAGGTAAAATTATGGGTAGGAAAACACTAATTAAAGTAATATATTAACTCTGAAAACTTAAATACTACGTACAAAATTAAAAAGTTTTGAAATATGAAGGCTTAGCTTATAGTTTTTGGTGTGATAAAGATGAAATGCCTCATAGCAGTACATGTTTACTTAAAGAGGATTAAAGAGTTGACTGCACTGCAGACCTCTTCCTTGGCCTGCATAGTTGTAAACGATGTCTCATTGCTCTGCACACCAAACATACCTCCTCAGTCATTTCAAATGACCAAGGGAAAAATAAATTTTTCACTGTCTAGGATTGGATGACTAGTTAATTACAGAAAAAATAAAATTGTATCCATATATCCTTATATCAAAATCAACTCAAAATGGAACAAAGTTTTAAATCTAGAACCAGAAACTATAAAACATTAGAATATGAATAAACATTTATTTAATCTTGGTACAAAAAAATATTTTATAAGCATGGCAGCAAACTTTGTATATCTGATTAAATTAAAACAAAACAAAAAATGGATTTAAAAATCAGTATGGCAAAAGCATAATGATAAATGTGAAAAGAAGTTCATTGTTTGAATATACAAAAACCTAAAAATGCACAAGAAAGAGATGAAAATGAAAATGGACAAAGACCCTGAAAAGCAAGTTTTCAATTAAATAAAAACTGATTCATAAACATACAAAAAGAAATTCGACTTCACAAATAAGATAATATATGTCATCCGGGTACAGTGGCATATGCCTGTAATCTCAGCAACTCAGGAGGCTGAGGCAGGAGGATCGAGAGTTCAAAGCCAGTCTCAGCAGATTAGTGAGGCACTTAGCAACTCAGTGAGACCCTGTCTCTAAATAAAATACACAAATGGGCTAGGGATGTGGCTCATGGTTAACTACCCCTGGGTTCAATCTCTGGTACCAAAAAAAAAAAAATTAGCATTTGTTATCTATCAAACTGGCAAAAAAGAAAAACCACAAACAAAAAACCAACAATATGTAATGTTAGGGAATTCTGAAGCAGAAGACATTCTTAGATATTTTAATGAAAGTACAAAACTGACAGCCTCCCCTGATGTCAGTTTGTCAGCATATATTAAAACCAGAAGTATGAATATTCTTTGGTCAGCAATCTTGGCCAAGAAATTCACCTGGATAAAGGTGCAAAGATTCATGTATTAAGTGCTCATTGTAGCATTGCTTATAACCACAAAAAACTAGAAATAATATCCAATGATGTGTGATTTGTTAAATAAATCATTGTACATCTGTATTATGGAACCAATTTAAAAAATGACTTATATCTATGTTCATTAAAGTATATGGGATCTACTGACATTATAAACCAGGATGAAGAATAATATAATCTTGTTTATATAAATGTGCACACATATGTGAAAGAATGCTCATCAAAAAATGTTAATGCTAGCAATCTGTTGATGGAGGAACTCGGGAATTTTTGCTTTCTTATATATATATTGTTTGAATTAAAAAATAAATAAAACCATATATTATATAACAGAAATTTTTTTAAATAAAATAAAGCATCTATTTAAGAAATTAAGACCAACTTAAACCACTGATTCAAAAAAATGAATCCATCTTAGGTTTGTATTTAATGTCCCTACACCAGAAAGATCTAGCATAAATGTTAAAACAAACGGAACCATATAAAGTTTAGTGTAATCTTAACTATTCTTCCCTCTCTTTAAAACAAAAAGGCAGCGGGGTGGTCCTCATGAATTGATTTCTAAAATCTCTTAGATTTCCCATTTTATTATTTCACCACATGGCCAGGTTATCAAAAATCAAAAATGCTCAGAAATCATAGTAGGACATAGAGTACACTTGACCAAACCTCATTTTTCTAGAGATATAGTATTTCTTCTCAAAACTTAGTGTTTTGATTTCTGTGGAGATGACAAGTACAGCTATCCTGAACGTCACATCATCTAAAAACATGTATTTAAAACAGAGATCTCTGTATACAAAGTAAAAAGTACATCTTTCAAAAAATTTTTTTCCAAAAAATATTTAGTTGTTTTTAAATTTGTTAGGTCAATATATGCTACTGTTTTATAGTGACAGAGTAGTGTTTATAGAGAAATAAGTGTCACAGGATTAATTGGCATTCCTTAGTTGAGTGACCTAAATTCCTATGGATGATGAATCCTTTTTCTAACTTCAATCTTCCCAGTGATGATTAAGAATTTTATCAATAAAATATAATCATTTTAATAGGCTTTTTTTCTCATTTATCCTAGGTCTAAATTTAATGAATCTCCAAAAGATTATCATATCACTGACAACACCAAAGCATACGCACAGAGGAAACAAATACATAACTTACATTTTTATGATTGACACATTTTAGGAGGACAAGTTCACGGTAAGCTCTCTTTGCATGAGTTTGATTTTGAAAAGGACGACTTAGTTTCTTGACTGCAACATTTATCCCAAGAACTGTATCAAAAGCAGCACTATAATTAGGAAATATAATAAACAATCCATTAGGATGATTTTAGAAAAAATAACAATGGAAATATATGTATCCAATAAATTATCTTTTAAAATGAATAATGTGGGAAAATCTTTCTACTTGTTTCCAGTAAAGGGACTTGTACACCAGAAGAGAAAAGTGAATTGGCCAAGATGGCAGGATGGACTAACTCTTGCATGGAGTCATGGAAATTTCAGCTGCAATTAGGATGGGATACAGGGATCCTTTGCACATTAAACTTTCATCATGTTCGTTGAGATTATTATAGGTAATTTAATGCAGAGCATCTAAGACTGGTGAAGAAATGAAATCTTCAGGTCAAGAAATTGAAAATATTCACTATTATCAGTAAGTAAAATATATTAAGGAGCATCAAAGCAGAGGAAATGGTTAAGCTCATGAAGAGAATTTAATCAATCTAAATTCTGATGATATTTTTCACAGACAAAAGAAACTTAAAAAGAAATAGAAGCCAAAATCTCAGTTTGTGGTAAATCCCCAAGATACAAAATCTCTAATGTAATCAATTGCTATATATAAATTTTGCTAGAAATACTTCCTCCTATTATAGTAAGAATAAAATCCAGAGTCTCTGTTTTTAGCATTTCAAGTTCCATGATGAAATTTGGTGTTCATTTTCCTCCAGGAAATAGACAAGAAAATTGAGTAGCCTAATGGCATATTTTCAGGTTTCACCCTAGCACTAAATACCATTATTAGGGTTATTACCTTTTGATTAATCATTAGGGGTAAAAATAGCTTAAGAACATCAGAGAACCTAAGCATCATTTAAAATATTGCTCCTAATTATTTACTTATTTTATTGTTTTTATTTATTTATTTATTCTTTTCTCTTAATGATGCTTTTTGGCCAAACAACTCTAATTTAATTCAATCTATTTTTAAGTTGAAGGCTGTCACCATAGCATTTGGTTAAGAATTACTTGAAATGTCATTCTTAACTACTTTTTCTTTAATTTATTTCATAATACATGTATGTGTATACACATACATAAATCTACATATCCACTTGCCAATCACATGAATCATAAAATATTAAAGATTAATCTATTTATGTTCATTTATATCAAAATATTTATCAGATTCAACAATTTGAAAACAGACACATCTTGGTTTTAAAAGTTTTGTCCAAAATTTCAGTTAGACAGGAGTTATGAGTTAAATCTGCCTTCTCCTGTATAACATGGTGACTACAGTTAATAACATGGTATAGTCTTGAAAATTGCTGAGAATAGACTTAAAGCATTCTCACTACAAAAATTGAAGTATGTGAAGTAATACATATGTAAATTAGCTCAATTTAGCTATTCCATAATGTATGCACATTTCAAAACCACATGCTCTACACGATAAACATATACTTTTTGTCAGTTAAAAACATTTTGTCCAAAATGAGCCAAATGGGCCTATTTTAAGCATCTGAGTAGACACATGCTTCTTCATTCCTGGCTCTGACTCCAGAAGCAATGACTTCCAAGTATTTCTGGTTTGGGTTCTTGTGATCACTTTTTAGCTTCAGAAAAAAAATATTTTTAATCACTATTTATTCATTTACCAACTTTAGAAAGTAACTATTTGCTACCTATTAATAAAAACTAAGGATTTAGCCATGTACTTGAAATTCCTAACACCTCCCAGTTTTGATCTTATGTTAATTTTAGGGTTTTTTTTTTTTTTGGTTGCCTTTATATCTTTAAATAATATGCCTAAACTTCTTGTTCCATCAGTTTTCAAAGGTACTTCTGGACTTCCAAGTATGTGAAATGAGACAATTTTATTGCATCCCCTATCTCCTTTCTTTTACTCTCTACCATCCTCCTTTTTCTTCCAAAATTCAGTCATAAATGGTTAAGCTTACTAACATATTTATTTTATATTTAAGCTAAGTATTCTGTGTTTCCTCCTTAGGATGTATTTAAATGAAAACCAATACACTGAATGTGTACATGTAAATATTACTAGTTATAGAGCTGGGATCACATTTCATTTTCTAAATATCACATGACCTTTGCTGCCACTCACCATACATGCATCTTGGAGCTTCTTTTAAAGCCTACTACATAGCTATTAACCTGGGATTTCTGTTCACTGCCTCTTTTGTTTCTCATGTTACACGTTATGACACTGTCTTTCTTATTAGAGTCCATCCTCAAGGAATTTCCCCAGAAAAAGTACGTAGAAGAGAAAGAACCTTACTTTGCCCTCATCTTGCATTGATAATTTTCCTTCTAAGTTAAAAATCAATTTTCTCTCAGAACTTGAAGGCCATTGCTTCACTGATTTCCATCTTTGAGTATTGTTGGCAAGGAGGCAGTCTGATATTTATTCCTGAATTTTGTGTTTTGTTCTTTAGATCAATGATTTATCATAAAGAGCCATGTTCAATCAGCTGCTCAAAGTTCTCCTCACACAACCCTTCCAACTGTTATCCTTCCTGTCCACCAAAGACAAGAACTACTTCTGGCTTTTACGGTAATCACTTCTTTGCTTTCACTTGCTAAACACACCTCCTTAAGGCCCCATAGTTTATTTTTGTTTGGTTTTTGAAATCTATATATGATTTCTTTTGTTCAACATTGTATTTATGAGTTTCACCCATTATTCTGTATAGTTATAATTCATTCTGTCATTGTTATAATATTCATTTCATGACTATATCACCTAACATTGACAGATATTTTAGTTGCTTTTAGTCTTCAAGTAACTGTAATAAATATTGTCACAAACATTCTTTATTCAGGTCCAGGTTCCCTTCGCATGTATTTCTGATAAGTTAATAGCTAAGAGTGGGAATGAATATATTCTATTTTGGTATACATTTCCAAAGTTATTCTATTAATTTCTAGGTCTACCTGCACTAAACAAAAAGTTTACCTGTGGGAGCTGTATGTGAGCTGTTCTATATTCTCACCAATACTTGGTATTATCTACATTTTAATTTTTAACCATTGTGCTGACTGTACAGTGGTATTCATTATATAAATGAGAATACAACTTTAATTTGCATTGCCCTGATGAACAATGACATTAAGCATATTTTTTCTGTTTATCAGTTATTTGAATTTCCTCTTTTATGACAACATATTTTTTATTTGATTGTCTCTGATTATTTTATTGATTAGAGCTCTTTATATATTCGGAATAAGAGACTTTGGTCAGTCTATACTCATCCCTCAGTATCCATGGAAGATTGGACCTAGAACCCTCCACAGATACTCAAGTCCCTTACATAAAATGGTATGGTATTTGCATATATCCTATGCACATCCTTCCATATACTTTATCTCTATATTAATTATAATACCTAATATAATGTATATACTATATAAATAGTTGTTATACTGTTTTGTTTAGGGAAAAATAACAGGGTAAGAAGTCTGTACGTGTTCAGTACAGATGGAATATTTTTTCAGAATATTTTCAATCTGCAGAACCTAGGGATATGAAAGGTAGACTGTATCTTCTTTTTTTGGAGGGGCAGGTACCAGGGATTGAACTCAGAGGCACTTGACCACTGAGCCACATCCCCAGCCGTATTTTGTATTTTATTTTGAGACAGGGTCTCACTGAGTTGCTTAGAACCTTCCCATTGCTGAGCCTGGCTTTGAACTTGTGATCCTCCTGCTAAGCCTCCTGAGCTGCTGGGATTACAGGAATGAGCCACCATGCCTGCTCAGACTGTATCTTCTTATGCTTACGCTTGTTTTTCTAGTTTCTTAATTTTAATAAATTAAAATTTTTAATTTTAATAAATTAAAAATTTTAATTTTAATATAAATTTATGAATCTTTTATGATGAATGCTTTTTATGTCTTGTTTAAAGATGTCTTTTACCCCAAAGATCATGAAAAAAATCCTCCTATATTAAATTTAAATAGCTTTAATACTTTTTCTTTCACATTCAGAGCAATTCAACTGAGATTGAATTGTGTATATAATGTGAGGTTGGGGTCAAATTTCACTTTTTTCCATGTAAATATTAATATGCCCATTTACTGAAAAGACTATCCTTTCCCCAATGCTTGGTAAGACCACTACTATAATAAATCATAAGCCCACCTGTGTATTATTCTGTTTCTAGGTTCTTTATGGTATTCCACTGCTCTGTTGTCTCACCTTGTATCCACATCACACCATCAAATCACCACAGTTTCCTAGTTAGTCTTTGTATCTGTAAGAGTCTTTCCCCCTTTTTCTTAAAGGGTATTTTGATCATTCTTGAAACTTTAATTTTACATGTAATTATTAGAATCATCTTATTAATTTCATTTTTTAAGAAAAGGCTATTTAGATGTAGGTTATAATCAGTCTACAGACAAGTTTGAAAACTGATACCTTAATTTATTCATTATATAATTCATAAACATGATATATTCCACCATTGTTTATTTCTTCTAATATATTTTAGCTTTTGTAGAGGTCTTTCCCATTTTTTTTATGATTTTTCACCTACAAATGTAATAAGAAAAAATGTTATCCTATTTTAAATGGTATCCTTTTCGAACTTTCATTTTCTTTTTTTTTTTTCCTTCTGTTTTTTGTCTTGTTTTTTTAAGATGGGATCTCATTACATTGATTGCCCAGGCTTCTTAAAAGAGCCCTTTAAAAACAGAGTTTACACTGGCTGGTGGAAAGCAGGGAAGTAAGAGATATGCTTCATAGGAAGTACTAGTCATGCCATTGCTGCCTTGAAGATAAAGCGGGGGTCAACTGAGAAGGAAAATACGCAGCCTCTAGGAGCAATGAATGACCTCTGGTTGAAAGAACAGGATTGGGGACCTCAGACCTAGAGTAGTAAGGAACTAGAGTCTTTCAATAACTGAAATAAACTTGGAAAAAGACTTTTCCCTAGAGTCTCTATGTAAGAGCCCAGCCCAGGCAACATCTTGGTTTCAGCCTTCAAGTGAGATGGTGAGCCAAGACTACAGGCAAGCTGGCTCAGATTTCTGACCTAAAGAACCATGAGATAATAAATATGGGCTGTTTTAAGTCATTAATCTTGTGGTAATTTATTATTCAGTAACAAAAAATTAATATATTCTCTCTTTTATAGTTTTCCTACTCTTTTTGTCTCTGCAGGCTTTATTCTAGAAAATTTTTGCTGATATATCTTCTAGGTAACTAATTCTTCCTTCAGTTATATCTAATATGTTGTTAAATTTACTCATTAAATTCTTAATTCAGTTATTATAGTTCTAAGTTCTAGAATTTCCATTTAGTTCTCTTTTTAAAGTCCTCATTTAAAAAAAAGTCCTCATTTCTATACCTAAAATTTTAATCTTGCCTTTTATTACCTTGAACATACATATCATCATAATTACTTTAAAATGTGACTATAATAATACCAATACCTCTTGTGAATCTGTTTCTGTTGGATCTTGTCTTATTGCCTTGTATGTTTAGTTATTTTTTATTATGTGCTAGATCTTGCTTTGTAAAAACTGTTACCTAGAAATATTGATACCTAGCACAATGCTATCTTCCTCCAGAAAGAATTTATATTTACTTCTGCTAAGCATATGGGGACACTAACAATTTAGGTTCACTTCTGTAGAAGTTCAGCAAATGAGATGTGCCTCCATGGACTTACCTCTCTCTCTGGTTTCTTTACTTCTAGGATGTAACTCTTGGTCCCAATACAAAGCAAAGGAAATTTGCTAGATTCTGTTAGAAAGCCCTGAACTCTAATCCCTATCTCTTAGCCATAAGACAGTCCAAAGCACTAGTCAAATATTTCATCTGCCCCTTTTAAAATTTAAATGTCCCCAAGGGAAAGACAACCTCAAATGTTGGGCTCCCCACACTGGGCTTCTGTCTTTCTCTGGATCCCAATTTAATAATTCTTCACTAACTTATAAGCTCTCTAGGGACAAATGCTGAGCATGGGGAAAGCGGTGGGAATATTGTGAGCACAACTATTTCAGACATATTTTTTATTAATATCCCTAATTTTAGCCACTTGTTTCATTTTCTATACTTGTCATCTCTATATTCACAGCCTCTTGGGGATCTATTAAAGAAAGATTGTCTTTCTTATTACAAATGACTAATTTATTTATTCTCACTTCCTCTGCTGTTTTATCTTATCAAGATTCCAACAACTTTAATATTTCAGAAATTTTTTAAAACCTTAATTCACTGATATTGCCATGGTTCTTTTTTTTGTGTTTCATTACCATCTTAAACAAGAAATTCCAAACTGTCATTTGAAAGGTGAACATATTAAGACCCATGAAGACAGGTGGGTTGCCCAAGGTCACAGAGCACTAGAGCAGTGAAGATCGGAAGTGGATTTAGAACCTATGCCTTCTAAGTCACAGCTATTTTGTGCCTCATACCAAATGTCTCTTTTATCATGGAAATTTTGTTGTGAATATTTGTTTATAAATACACACACTATACATATATACACATACACACTAATAGAGAAAAATAAAACAATTTAAGAGCAGGCCAATGTTCATTATTATACAAAGTTGGAGGAAGAAGGGAGTAAAAGATATACCAATTATTTCACACTATGGTTGTAACTGTTAATGACCTTTGCACTGCCAGACCTAATAATAAACACTTAAAAAAAGCTAAATATTTCATAGAACTTTCAAAATATAAAAAATTTCCTATTCTGGTAGAACAATTTAATATTTTAGAAGGAGAAAGAAAAGGTGTATGTTTGTTTTCTGCACTCTTCCAATTAATTAATATTACTATATAACTTAGTTGAAATAAGTATTTTAAAATGATAAACATTTAAAAATTTATTTCCTAATAAATTTTACCAACATCATCTAATGAATAAAACATAGAAACAAATCAACAAAAACTTTAAAAACAATTCAAAACTAGGGGTTGAGGACTAGGGGAATAGATAAATGGTAGAGTGCTTGCCTAGCATGCACAAGGCCCTGAGTTCTTTCCCCAGCACTGTAAAACAAAACAAAACAAATTTAGGCATCAGAATATTTTATTCTTGTTCCAATCCTCCCATTTAATTGTACGCAAGCCAACAATCTGTCCTTTGGTTTATGTGTATACCTGTCCCTATGTCTTTACAATGCTCTAATTTAATAAAGACTAACAAGTTTTATAAACTATACACTCCTGTTACATTTTATTTTTCAAAACTGCAAATGCACAGTCCTCTGTATTAGTTTCCTAATGCTATTGTAATGAATTACCACCAAGTATTGGTTTAAAACAATAGACATTTATTGTCTTATAGTTCTGGAGGTCAGAAGTCCAAAATGGATCTTATGGGACCAAAATAAAGGAGTCAGTAGAACTTTACTTTTTTTCTATCTTTTAGAGGCTTCCAATATTCTTTGCTTCCTGGTTTTACACTATTACAAACTCTGCTTTTGTTATCACATCTCCTTCTTTGACTAAGACCTCTGGTTTCCTTTTTGTAAAAACCCTTTTAATTATATTGTGTCTACCAGAATAACTGAGGCTAATTCTTCAACTTCAAGATCATTAATTTAATCAAATCTGCAGAGTTCCTTCTGTTGTATGAAGTAATATATAGATAGGGTCCAGGGATTAGGATGTGAACATTGGGTGGAGGGCATTACTGACAAAAGAAAGTTTTAGATCATCAATTAACAGTAAATTGACAATATTTTAATAAGCAATATGATAGAATTCATTTCCTGGGATGGAACCTATTGTTTTATTAGCTTATTTGAGCAAAAGCAAGTTTGTTGTTTGTTTGCTTAAACAGTAATATGCCATTACCAGATTATTTCCCCTCTCTTAAGTGGTATCTATAGATTGGTACAAGGGAAAAGGGGGACAAGGAAAGCTAAAATCACTTCTAAAGTTTTTATTTTCCCAAATTAGAACATAAGATGAGAAGATACCATAAAACTGAATATCGGTTATAGCTATAAAATTAAAACTGTTTTTAAATGTAATAGCTGTCCTATAGAGATAAATATAATTATCTGAGAATTTTCATGTAGGTATTTAATAAATATGTATTTACTCATTATTGCTAAGATCAGTGGTTCAAATTTAACAATAATTCTTATCTCGCTGTAAGCAACAAGGTCTCAAATTACCAACAACTGGGTTTTGGTCCCAGGCCTATCACTAATACCCTGTTAGACAGGAAGAAGTCAATGAGTCTTCCTAGTCCTATACCATTTGTTTAGTGAGGGTTATGGCAGCATTCACAGTGATTAGATAAAATATACTATTCACATTACTACTAAACCTTCAAAACTAAGTAAATGACAAGCCTATAGGGATAAATGAAGCCCATATTTAAAATAACTGTCTGTCTAAAAGCCACAAAGTGAACTCCCTGAAGATCTTTGATATGTCCTGCTTCTATATCCTTCCCTCCCTCCTCTCTCTATTGCCAAATTATCTGTGTCAAACTACCATTTAATTCTCAATAAGAAATAACTATAAATCAAAAGAATGTTTTATTGTTCATAACTTTTTATTAACATCAATTTTTTTCTAATTTGAACAACCCACTGATTTTAAATCTTCTCCTGGCACAAAGAATTTAGGTATGGATTAAGTAAGCATCCCTAATGTGACAAGCTCCAAATGATGCTCAAACAATTTTAGATTTTGGAGTATTTCAGATTCAGATTTTTTTTTTTAATTAGGGATGCTAAATTGGTTAAGTCTATACAAATATTCCAAAATCTGGGGAAAAAATCTGAAATCAAAATACTTCTGCTCCCAAGAATTTCAGATAAAGGATACCCACCCCATACCAATAAAGCATGTTGTCAGTAAGAAGTCAACATCAGCACTATTTTATATATAAATTGGGCATTCCCTCCAAACCCCTCTCCCTCATTAGTTTCTCTTTCAAATTCTGGACTGCAACTCTCTTAGCTCTAAGGGCCTTCAACCACCTAGGCATAAAAGAACAACTGATTTTCCTGATCACATACTCTCTAACAGAGGATCAGTTAAAAATTGGTAAGGAAGCTTCTCTAAGCTCTGCTTCTCTACATGAAAAGATAAACTCCTCTACCACCCAAAGAAATTCTTTTATCTTTAATACCCTTTGCCTACTAGCTATAAACATTACAGTTTCTTTTAGAGACAAAAATAATCTTGTTTTTATTGACCAGAAAGAGGGGGGAAAAAGTTATGCCCAGAAAAATAAGGGATAAAATGTTTGGGAGGTGCTGATAACTATAGTCTAGAAAACACGTGAAAAACTTTACCTTTAGCTGGCCAGTGATGTCGCAGCAGCTGACTGTCTTACCATGCAAGAGACTAAGGTTCAGGGTCAGACTAACGGTTCTGACGTCCTGGGCTGGACACATAGTTGAAGAGAGACACCAAGGAAGAGACGGCCAGCCCAACCCCTCACACAGCATCCCTTCCTGGTTAATCCATGGTGTGATAATGACACTGACTGGCCTCATCCTGCCAATGAATGGCAAGGCACTGCAATGATGGCGCCTAGAAATGAATAGGAGTGATTGGGAATAAAAGGGGGAGGGGGGGGAAAAGGTGGCCATGATGAAGAAATGAATAAAACTCCAAATTTCTGTTACACTGTCATACCTATTACTCTGATATCATAATGACAAGGAAAATGAAAAACAAAACAAAACCAAAAGAAAAAAAAAGAAATAAACAAACGAAGCAAAAGAAAAATTGCTACCTATTAATGCAGCATTCTAAGAATTTGGGTTTGTTCCTACAACCTGACTATATAATAACTTACTGCAAGAAGTTGAGTCAATTTAGCTCATAAACCTATAACAGAGTATTTCTTTTATCATTTAGTGTTTCTAAATTCTGATGATTTATTTTTTCTTTTTATTAGAGCAAAAACTCAATCGACACTATTAAAACAGATCAGACTTACCAAACAATTCCTTGGGCTCCAGAGCCAATTGGTTTCAACTGCTGATAACGTTTTAGGACAGTGAAAGTTGAGTCTGCCACTTGCACACTGTAAAACTGACTATCACATTTACTGTCACTCATGATGTAGTGTCATACAATATTCTGAAGAGCTGGTACTGTTGTCAAATTCCTTAAAAGAGAAACAGAATGAATATGCATTCTTACTGAATTATACTTACACAGCTCACTTAATAGTATTTCAAATATACTGGGATATAAGACAATGTGGCTGTTAAGTTGATAAAATGAGTTGACCAAGTTTTAAACCTAAGAAAGACACAAAAATGCAGATATAAATGCATAGACATTTCAGTGGAACAAGATCATTATGAAAGGAATTTTGAGGCCCAATGGGACAAAATCTTAAGGGTCTGCTTTAAAAAATAACCACTTTTGAGAAGATTTATGTATTATCACCAGCAATGGTAAAACTACTACACTACTAAATGCTTCTCATCAGTTTGCTTTTTGTGAGACAAGTTTATGCTTAGCAGTCTCAACCACAAATGAGGGCATTATTTCAAAATGATAGCTTCTAGAATTCCTAAAGAAAAGCAAATGGCCCAGTCTTCCACTACAGATCCAACACAAAGTGATAAACCGGAAAGCAAGATTCATGTTAAATGATGGGTTGTTGGAGGCCTAGTAACATGGGTAATCATGGATGAGCCTCTGTTTTATGATGCTGGCCTGCAACCCCTGTACCTACAAACTATGCCTTACCCTACAGCAGAAAATATCAACACTACAAAGTTTATTCACATATGCATGAATATAAATTGGCAACTGCAGAAAGTAGATTTTTTGTGCTTTAGGCAGTGATGAGATTTCTACTCTGTAGGAATCTAGCTGATTTTATACAGAAAACAAGCAAACATTTACTTGGTTTCCTAGTTCTTGTCTGATGACACTTACTAAAAAGTTAGTAAGTTATTTGTCTTTTTAATTAAAAAGCCAGCAATAAAATCATATAGATGGGCTGGGGATGTGGCTCAAGCAGTAGTGTGCTCGCCTGGCACGCGTAGGGCGCTGGGTTCGATCCTCAGCACCACATAAAAATAAAATAAAGATATTGTGTTCATTGAAAACTAAAAAATAAATATTAAAAAAATTCTCTCTCTTTAAAAAAAATCATATATTCTCATAACCCACTTGAATCAAAGTGTGAAATATGATATATCAAGAACTATGTAATGTTTTGAACAGCCAACAATAAAAAATTAAAAAAAATTAAAAAAATAAAAAATAAAAAAAATCATATAGATAACCATCCCATATTGCTTAAAAACAGATTTTTTTTCTACAGCTTCATCAAATCCCTGCCTTTTGTTCTATCATTTAACATTTAACATCTACTCAATCAGTTTTTTGAGGAATGATTTGTATTTCAATACAATGATATCTAGGATTGCCATGAAACATAGAAATAAATTGATTAATAACAACCTCAACAAAGATGTGAAGTGAAATCAATAGTTTTTCCAACTGACCATTGCCCCATGTTTTTCCTCATTATTCTTTTTTTTAATACTTATTTATTTTAGTTGGACACAATATCTTTATTCATTTATTTTTATGAGAATCAAACCCAGGGCCTCGCATGTGCTGGGCGAGCACTCTACCACTGAGCCACAACCCCAGCCCCAATTACTCTGACCAGCCATTCCTGCTAAGAGTCATTAGTACAGCTGGCTAGATGGGCCTCCAGGGGCCATTTGTACTAGATGTTAGACAAACATGATGGCTCACATGGACCCTCCCCTGCCTCTAGCAGGATCATCATTCCAACTTATATTGGAGCAACCTAAAGCTTCATGATCTAGAACAACTGCCAAGGCCACACTTCTGTGTGGAGGGGACTCAGGAACAGTCCCAGGCCAAAAGGTCACCGTACCTCATGCTCCAAGAGGGTAGGCATAGGTCTATCTGCTCACCATGGCATCTCATACTCCAAGGACAGGTCAGGGAGGGCCTGCCAATGGGACACTGAGTGTTCAACAAACCTTCACTGATCTGACCCACATTACAACATTTAATGATTCCCTATAATTCTGTTTCATATTACTGACATCTGAATGAATATCCTTTTCTACAGATTAACAAAAGGCTGAAAGAATTTAACTCAATATTTAGGGGGTGTCTTTGTACATAAAGTGGTAAGTATCACAGAAATACACCATGAGTAGTTTTGAACCAGTCTTGAAGTAGCATATAATTCATTATTGATGGGAGAAGTATGAGGATCAAGTCTATATGTTATCTATATTCTAACACAAGTTACTATGAGGTAATGGCCATAAGAAAGATGTAAACAAAGGCAAAAAGCAGAAGAGATCCTACATAATGGCAGGGCTGCTGAAGACAAGGAAGTTTCATGGAGGAGGCAGAATCCACCTTAGACTGTTTTGGTACGGGTAGACAGTAGAGGCACAGAACTCAAATTGTCTAAATATGGCAAAATGTTCAGCTTAGCTAGCAAGGTACAAGTGCAAAGGATTAAAGAGACTCAGTAAAAGGACAGATACCCACTGCAGCCTGCTCTGTTGGGGGCAGCCATTCCTTTGTCATATTGTAAATACACCAGTGATACTGGTTATTCACAAAACATTTACCCATGCAAATGAGATCCCATGCCATAACAATGCCTGTCCTCAGTGAACTTATAAAGCATGTGCTGTAAGTACACTCAGAAAGAGACCTAATACAAGAAGGGTCCTAAACCCAGAATGATAGGGAAGATTTTGGAGTGTGGGGAGAAGTAGCACCTACAGAGAGAGTGAGATAAGTCATTTGAGATCTAGTTTGCTGTATAATGGGGAAATGATGACAAAGAAAAAATGAGATCAGATCAACAAAGGTCATATAAGCTTGGTCCTGAGGGGTGTGTCAAAGCACCAGACATGATCAACCTTGCTTTTCAGATAGGTTATATGGGAAGATGAGAAGGGGATGGATTAGAGTAGGTAGGACCAGAGAGAAAAACCAGATAAAAATGACAGGACAGCAGCACATAGGATGAGGAGAAAATGTATGATTTTGAGAAAGTTTACGTTGCTGACCTGGAGATGAGAAAAAATGAGGGTAAAGCATAAAAGACATGCAGAGCTGGTGAGTTCAATTTTGGGAAAGTGTGAAATGCTAAGGCACAAGCAGCACAACTGTGGCACAGGCCACTGATATACGCTAGAATTCATCCTGTCCCTACTGAGCTGCTCAAGTAGAAACAACAGCTGGCAGCTTTCCTGGAAGCCAGGAATGGCCAGATGAACAACTTTTGGCCTTTGAGGTGTGAACAGAAGTGATGTGTGCAACTTCCAGATCATGTTTTTTTGTTGTTTGGCTTTTATTTTATTTTGTTTTATAGAAAGCTGCTCATTCTCCAATCTTTTCTGTCATAGACCTACAAGTGGAAGTTACACACAAGAGATGGAAGAGTTGTATTCCTGAATGACCTTGAACACAGAGCCACCTTCCATTCTGGACCACCTGTTTATGTTGAGGCTGGGACAAATCAATCTCAACATTGTTGAACAACTTTTGAACTCTCTTCTACATTTACTTGCTACTCATATTCTTACTAGTACCTATATTGTACTAGGTTAGTTTCTTTGAATTTGGGGAGAATATCCAATCATACTAGGATCTATAATTATTAATATGATTTCATCTCAAGATTTAAAATAATTCGAAAATTAAAGTGCCCTTCACTTTCAATAAGTGCCCTTATTAAGCAAAAAAAAAAAAAAAAAAAAAAGTCACGTAAGAGAGAAATTGTCAAAGCTCCTTTCTCTGTCACTTTTGGGCTTCATGAGAGCAAGAGAAAGAAACTCAAGACAACCTGAGAAAGGCACACAATTTAGCTATTAATGAATCTATACTGTTGAGATTGTACTTCAATGAACTGAAGTATCAACTGGGGCTCAGTTTTACAAGTTGGGAAGTACAAGAATTCTTCCTGCAACTACATTAGTATCACACTAAAATCTATATGCACTACCTCTACTTCCCACACCAGTGGGTCCTGGTTCTTCACCTGGGTTCCCATGCTGTGTTGCTATGGCCACTATCATCAGTCCAACAAGGTCCTGCATCCATACTACTTCTGTATTTGGTAGCACCCACCAGCCTGGATTATAACAACTTTTGAAGATCTGCTTCTTCCCCTAGGCTGTGAGCTCCTCAATGGTAGGGAAGAAGGGGCTGGTGGTATAGTACAGCAGTAAGGTACTTGCCTATCAAGTACAAGACCCTGGATTCTATCCCCAGTACCACCCCCATCAAAAAAAAAAAAAAAAAAAAAGAGCAGGAGGGAAAGGAGTAAACAAGGGTATAGAGATAAAAGTAAAAGAAGGCTTCATGGAGGAGGCAAGACCTGACCTGTTCAAAGTATCAACCAGGACATGAGAATGTGGATACTTTCAATACATGCTATTGAGAGCTATAAATTGGTAAATACTTTTTTTTTTTGAGGGAAAACAAGTATCATAACTACAATTCTATAATGTATCTAACAAATATATGTGTAAGAGTATTCAAAGATATACGTGCACGATGTTTGTAGCATTTCTTGTGATAGGCAAAAAAACTACGAATACCTTAATGTACACAGAGGATTGAATTATTAATATTACAGCATAAAGTGCTATTAAAGCCATTAAATAGAAGCAGGACTTAATATGTATTGATATGGAAAGATGTCTAAGATATAGAAAAGAAATAAAGCGAATTGAAGAGTATACATAGCAAATGTCAATCTATGTACACGTACACACCTACACACCTACACACACACACGATGTAAACAAGTACAGAGAAACTGTAAGAAATGAGAAAATTTCCCTTTCTGGTCTTTTTTATTTTTGGAATCATGCACATATTTCACATTTTAAAAACCTTATTAAAGAAGAAATTTTAAATGAAAATCTAAAAAATGATCCTTCTGATACCCAAGGGTTTAAGGCAGATGAAGCTAGAAAAGGGAGAGTGGGCCAGGCTCTAAGGGACACATTGATAAGTGCTCTAACAACATATGAGGGTAATACTACTCCTTCTGTATAAATGAGGAAACTGGGGTTTGGAGACAGGAAGAGAGTAATTCT